GACAACCCAAAATTAGATCTAATTATTGGATTATGTGATTATTCTAGTTATCTCATTTCTGCGGACTATATAAATGTACCCAGAGTCTATTATCTGTTGTACAGTTGTGCTTTCCTTTACTAGTGTGAGCCAAAACAAGCCCACCAATCACATGCAAGCCAGAGGAACCCCTCTCCCTGAGCTGCTCTCCTCACTCATCACCATAATGAGGAGGGGCCCGGGCTGAGCAGGTGCTGTGCAATGAACACATCAACAATCCAAATAGAGAAATAAGGAGCCCTCCTATGTGAACCAGTGAGCCCTGTATAAATGACTGCTTTGAAATAGAGCTGCATGATTCTGGAAAAAAAAAAAAGGTAATAAGAATTACGATTGATTTAAGAGAACACTGAAACATGAACTGATAAAGTCACACAATACATATGTTTCCCAGATGCATGAGTTTGAGCATGTTGGTGCAGATCTTAACTAAGTATATGGGTTAGTAGGCTTTATGCAAAATAAAAGTGGATATACTGTATGTGGAGGAAATAATGCAGGTTTTGCAATTTTTATAATTCCATTGACTCTAATTGTCATGTCAATCATTATTTCATCTTTGCACTGTTTGTCCTTTCAACCTCTTGTATATAACTGAGATATATTTGTATTACTATATTTCTTTATATTTTATTTTTACTTGTGCATATACAATTAATATAATTATGCCTCGTTGACCAGTCTCTTGCCATTTTTGCTACGTATTTTGAATGCATTATTACCATTTATATTTTTTGCTCTTTGTTATCATAATTATATTGTGATGTGATGACGTGTGAGCTGCTGTGTCCAAAAAAATCTCCCTCGTGGATCAGTAAAGTTCGTCTAAGTCTTAAGTCTAATTCAATTGTGATTAATCTTCCAAATCTACTACAGGTACAATAATACTTTTCTATAAACGAGACAGAGGACAATTTTTCATCTAAATTCTGGTAGTCTTTGGGATTTGATAATGGCACCAGCTCAAATAGCGGTTCCAGACTTTTGTGCGGAAAAACATAAAATTGCATGAGGTGAAAGCACACGTCACGAGGCATAATAGTAACTCAATGGATGCAGAGAGTTCAGGACGAAATATTTTCCAAGTCTCCCCTCTATCTTTCCTTGGCATGTTTCACACTCTGCCGTATATCACACAATACTCCCAAATGAACACGCTGAAATTTTTCATTTCGCTTGTAAAGTATTGCAACGTTCTCGACAGAAATAGGAAACTTTGTATAGCAGACTTGACAGAGGTCACATATTCAAAACATTGAGATAGCCTGGCCTGAATCTTTGTCTTTCCTGTACAAAGAATTAGCTGCATCTCTCAGGACTTCAGTTGGATTGAAAAAGGCAGTGCCATTGGACGCAGATTAAACAACCTCTGGAACTAATTGTGCAGTTGTACAGGCTTTACAACCAGCGCTGCACAACATGAGGAAAACAGGCAATGAGCAAAGCCCATTTCAACCCCATTGTGCTAAAGAGGATTCATCTTGGGTTTATTTGTCTGCTTTCACTAACATCTGTCTGATTTAGGGTTGTCAAAAGCATCAAAAATCAGTACCAAACCTAGATACTTATTTGAGAAAGGATCAATACTAAAAAGTCGCATTCAAAGGACAGAAATTAACCTTTCCTGAATAGCTTTAGAATGATCTTGAGCTGTATCAGAACAATATAAGACCACATAGACTAGTATACGCCCATGGACGAATATGGAAAATGGAACATACCTGGACAACCGAGGGATTACACAGATATAAAAACACATGGTAGTAAGAAGACAGTACTTTGATTTAATGTTGAAAATGGCATTCTATTGTCTGAATAAGGAGTTTTTTATTATCTCTCTGGAATCAGTATTGAGTAGCAAGTCTAATTCTTAGTATTAAAATCGAGCTTGAAATTTGAATGTAGTGACAACACTGACTGACCTATTATGACAAAACTATCTTTAGACAAATGTATACTAAAATTCTGAATCTGGGTTGTGCAAGTTGTTTACTGTAATAAATGGTTTGCAGCATATTAATAAAAGCAACCATTTTCTTTAAGCTTGTGCCTTTAGACAGAGGCTGAATGAGCACTGATCAAGTGAAATTACACCTAGATGCTAAAATGTTCTCAACATAGTAAATGGACACAGCTAACCCACTACCCATTGCGGTCAAAATATAAATGAGCATTGGCCCCCTTCCAGCTCCATCGACTCTGGCTCCAAATTGACTTTACACTGAAAAATTGTCACCCCTCTCTCTGTAGCTGCTGCAGTGAGCCTCGTCATTTTTGGTCTTAAAATGTTCATATTAACCTGCCTGGTGTTTTATTTTGTCTGTAAGTAAATTCCTTTTTCGGATATGGAACTCCACTCCAAATTCGCTCCTATAACCGCTAGCCTTATGAACTTCATTTGACTGGACGAACGCTATGGGCAACATCACACTCCCTTAGTCCACTTCTCTATACAGTCTCTACTCAATCACAGGTACTACTCCCAAATTTATAAACAGAATAAACAAATGCAAAAGACTACAAAAAATAATAGTTACTACTACTTCGTTACGCAATTATAGTAGCATTTTAGATCAGTCTTTTACACAAACTGGATTAATTAAACAGTTTAAAGTAATCCACATGTTCTCTAGGCTCTTATCAATCAAAACAGGCAATTCAGGCTGTCATGTGTATTTGTAGATAGAAAGACGAGCTGAGACAGAAGTGAGACAGCTGTGCATTAAAACGACAGGGACTGAGATTTGTGCTATACACAGAAACTCTCTATGATTTTGAATGCATCTTATCACAGTTATATGGCTAGAATTATACTAAATTACAAGTTGCACAAAAATGTACTCAAAAATGCAACATTATACAAAGCTATTCTACAATAAAAATAATGTATTTTGTTTATAATTAGTTACTTTTCACCCCTGAGCTTAGATGAATAGTGCAAAGCAAATATTTACTAGAAACTGATACCAAAAATATTGAAATTGTGAAAAGAAAATGAGCAGGTGCTGGCATAATTGATGCAACCACGCACACTGAGAAATCCTGCAAAATAGTGAATGCCAATTGTGAAAAAGTCAAATGAGCAAAACATTTTATCTTTGTGTGCTATTCTTATGCATATGCAGTATACTCATAGCTCCTTAGATTTAACGGTTCCTCTCGTGGCCTCTCGTGACACGGTCAGATGTTCAAGGTCAAGAGGGTTTGGAGCATTGTTCACGGAGGTCCACTCAACAGAAAACCGCCTGAACTCTAAGTGAGCTTTAATGATACCAACTCATAAGGACGAGGCAAACTTTTCTATAAAACACAATAGAATTAGCTTGACATGGCCATTTCTCATAGTTCGATCCAAACATTTTTATGACTGGGTGGCTTGGCAATGTATTTTTAGCACCGGCTCAAAAGAGAAGTACATTGTGTTCATTTTCTTTAACCGATTAATTGGTTGCTTTATCAAACAGTTGTCAGTGGTGTCCTTACACTTTTACATTAAAAATGCAAGAGCCACTATTAAAAAGACAAATGGAAAGACGTGCATATTTTAGGAAACAAATGACTAATGCATGTTTAGGTGGCCTAAATTATATGGGTTTTCTGATTATCTTTTATCTTCTATATTACAGCATAACAATTAATTGCTAGTAATTTCTTTAACGGATTAATTAACTAATTAACTCCTACATGAAATGAAAAGAAATGGTTAACTAGAAATATAACCACATTTAGATTGCACACAGTGAACGAAAATATGCACAACTGTAATTTGTATAAAGTGATTCCAGATCATTCTCTGCAGTGGAGCGCTGTGTGTTTCCAGACTAACTGAACGATACATGGAGATGTGATCAGGTTCATAGTCAGCTTTTCCACACCCACAGGTCAAGTATTCCTCTAACAGCCGACGGGGAACAGAAAGTCAAACTAGACGTAGTGGATATTGGGCACATCAGTTATCACAGAAAACATCTGGAGGTAATAAAGGACAAGAAGCTGAGCACCTGTTTTCTGCAGCAGGTCCTCTGAGCCATGAAGGACAAACAGGCAGACAGCGCTGACACTCTGTGGGCATTTGTGTGTCGAATAAGGCTCTGACCTCCATGGGATAGGGGTCACTGCACTGCACTGGCACCCTCTCTGCTAACGCTACATACATCAGTCTGTGCGTTTCAATGTGGTTTCTCAGCACTAATAAAATGGCAGCCGCTCAATTAAAACAGCTCTAAAGAATATATGCAGCAGCGGTGATTGCGGTGGTAAAGAATGTGAGCGAGGACACAACAAGCAACGAAGACAAGAAGAAGTGGTTACCTATACAGTCAAAGAGATGACAGGCGAACCAGCAGAGACTGAAGTGTGAGCCTGTGACGCTCAAGGACACACGGGTAATGAAGTTTGGAGTCTTTATTATTATTGGTGTGCGACGAGAAGGGATAATTATTCATAGAAATCAATTGTGAGGAACACTGAGCGGCGTCTCAGCTCATGGTCAAATCTTTCACCGGCATGCAGTAAGACAACGCCCCTCATCCAGATTCAAAATATTAAAAATCAGTAACTAATCGGTACTAAAACTAATATCGAAACTAGACGATCATTTGAGCAGGTATACTAAAACTCTCATTCACAGGACAGAAATGAACATTTCCTGAATAGCTTTAGAATGATCTTGAGCTGTAACAGAACAAGCACAAGAGCACAAAGACTAGTATACGCCCATGGATCACTATGAACCACACCTGAATGACTGAGAGATTACATAGATGTAACACCACATGGTGATATAAATGAAAGTAGTATTAATATCACATTCTATTGTTTTTATTATCCTCGCGGTATCGGAATCAGTGTTGAGTATGAAGTCTATTCCTTGTATCAAAATCGAGTTTTGACAGTTTAGTATCGTGACAACACTAACAACATACTACTATATGCCCATTGATTTTAATTGTGACTCTCACCTGGATAGAAGTCTTTGGATTTGGACAGCTTAATTGTGGCACCCGTCTCTTTCTGCAGTTGTACGATGGTCTGGCCGCCTTTGCCAATTATAGAGCCGGCTGCATAGCTGGGGATCAGCACCTTCAGGAAGTACTCACCCTCCTCTGGGGAACAGACACACAAAGTGGGAAAGAGTTACATCTTATATAGTAGTTCTGCACAGCATCATGCACACCACACTATTAGACCCCCCTCCCCCTCCCTCCGTGCTACCCCATGACCTGAACAGGCACACAGCCACAATGGGAATATACAGCCCTGTACGCAATGCAAAAATACAGTATAAATGAGGATCTTTATGGCGGGCTGCTTTTTATGATTAAATATTCCTGTTTGCAGCATTCATCGCGATTATGTCTTAAAGCAGATTGGTGACATATTCTGTGTCCTGTCCCAGATTTTTGTAGAGTAAATGATGACCTCCTTTTCAGCTCGCAGAGGTCTAATTTTAACTGTTTTCAAGGAGTTTTCACCACCTCTGTCTAAATAGAGAGATGAGCCCAATGTCACCCATTTCAGAAGAATAATAATACAACATCATGTGAGAATTGCTTATAATAAAAATATTAGAGGACATGGAGTGATAAGCTATGCGGTCCATCATTGAACGCACATACACGCTTGATCCTTGATAATGAGGAGAAGTGTGGAGAGCATATGGGAACCAATCCCACCGATTTGTACAAGAGGTTCACTGCCAAGCCTAAATCTCCTCCATTTTGGGAAGGGCTCTGGTAGCTTACGGTGGCTTCTAGTAGTCTGATTGACGGCTCATCATTTTGAACAATCTGCAGTGTTCCTCTAGGTGAAGTGTCAGGGAAACTTTGTTATAGCTAATCAAGAATTAATCAGACTTGAGAATACACATTATCAAATTAAGTGTTTTGATCTACATATAAATCAATCAACCACATAGGGAGCTTGGACATCGTTGACCTGATTATCATTAAGGAACTTGCGAGGAGTAAGTTGAAGATGCAGTATTTATAGACCGTGATTCCCCAGTGTATTCCTAATATTGCATCATTGAAAACTATGCGCACAGGTGCTCGTACTGATGCACAGATACGAATACTCCGCTCTGCATACTGATATCGATGCAATGACGTCACTGTCCAATGCTCCTCAGCAGTCTCCAGGGTGACGTCACTCCGGAGATGGAAAACGCACTGACCACACTAGTAAAATGTTTTAGCAACTTTTAGCTGCAAACGCTAAAGCATGATGCTCCTATACGTCCAAAAATCCTATAGAGGAAAGTGCGTAGTGACTTGAATGATAAAAAGCAAAATAGGGCAAATAAAGGAGGATCGACAGGCCAGCAGAGCCAACCTGTTGCCTGAGTAATACATTCAATAGACTTTGATGGATATAGACAGTGTGACATTAAGAGATTTCACAGGCTACATGTTAGATCTCCTGCTAATTACATTAATATGCTTCTCATGCTCCATTTGGACAGAGACTGCTGTTTATGCACACATCCAGAACCAATGTCACTGACACATGTACACGCACCACACGCAATGACATGTTGGTAGCCGAATTTCACATTACGTCAGGGGAAATTATGGTTATGGTTCGATGGTTGTTCGGGACCATCCCAAGTCTCATAACGAAACCGTAAGAAGACATGACAAGACTTCACTTTCAACAAAAATCAGATCCATTTGATGTATTATTAACTGCGGTATGTAATTTTAATGGAGTCGTAGTAAAAGGCTAGATGTGAGATTGTAATTGTAACATGGTCATTACAGAACAAGCTTTGTCTCTTTGCCATGAATCCTCTGACTGTTGAATTTCTATCTGTTCTCGCCATCCCCTGTTTTTTCTCAACGGATAACAATAAAATGACCTTGGTGGGAAAATAAAGATCATTCATGACTGACAGTCCTTAGAAAGCGTTTAAGCACATGCAACAATCACAGAATATTTAAAGTTAAAGGAACCATACAAAATTAGAGCTTGAAACTAATAGTAAACGTCAAAAAGACCTGTTGTTGATAGACAAGCCCAAATGCACTGCGTAACTTTGTGCTTGTCTCCCACCTGAGTGAAGCCAGCAGGGAAGCAACCACCACCACGCCTCCATCGGCCTCAAAGCCACGTTTGCTGTCATTAGTCAATAATTAATTCTGTCCTAGTGTCTGAGATCACAGTAACAGGTTTTAATGGCGTCATGTGGTAGAGTAAACATGGCAATCTGTTGCTGCAATCCGCCAGGGAACCGGAGCAGTGGGGCACGTTGGGAATGGGAGCCAGTGGGGTGTCAGTTCAAACCCGGGCTTCAGAACTGGAGGGATGGCTGGGAGCAGAGACATGGACACTGAGCCAAATGTGTTTAGTTAAGTCACTCAAGGGGGGTGGGTCAGGAGGAAATGCCTTGTGACCGTCCTCCCTCCTTCCCACTACCCATTCTGCATTTCAATGCACTAACCTGCTGCTGTCAACCAGCAAGGAAGCTACAACAGATATGAGTAACAATGGTCAAATGAAGTGCGGGACGATGAAATGGCACGTACGCAAAAGATAAACTCAACAAGTCAGAGAAAAAGAGTTGCCCGCTTACCCATTCTGAGATCTGCTGCTGCACAAGTCCTCTGTCAGATCGCCATCAATGCCGGGGCGCAATCTCTAAAGGGGATCTTAACATTAGGCTAGGCATAGGTGCAACCGTAGTGCTGAGGAATGCGGTCAGTCGACCTTTTTCACCGAGTCTAATTCATCAGTGAGTGCAGTAAAAGAGATTTCACCGCAGCATCCCAGCCATGCCTGCAGCTGGCCAGAGCCTCAATTGTCTGAGAAAATGCTAATGCAGGCTCTCAGTGTTTTCAGTGAAAGACGGCACGCATTGTTCGAGCCTGCATCGGTTTGAAGGGGGGGGTCTTCCCTGCCGCATCACCCTTTTCACTGCTCTCATCCATATTCATCGAGTGGCCTGTCCGTCTGCAGCAGCGCGCACGAATGACACCTCGCTCGGCCAATCGCTGCTCGCCCCCCTGCTCAACGTCATGTCCCCACCCCCTGATACTGGTCCCAAAAAATTGAATTTTCTTTCCTACTCCGCCTCTTTTGACGCAGCACTATAAAGTACGGCAGCTCATTCAGTCAGGGTTTTAGTAGAAAGTGACAAAGGTGAAGTGGCTGGGAGAGCGGACTTAGGCGCTGAGCGTGGAGCCTGTAAAGTGACCTTCAGCAGTGGGTGAAGAGGAGTATGGATAACATAAGCAGATGATGAAGGAGGTGGAGGAGGAGTGATCGGAGACAGCGTGCCTTACGCCACCCACCTCCTCTCCTCCGATCCCCCACCCCCAATCCCTTAGACGGCCATGTTTGAGAGGGCGGAGGGGCTCATCAACCATTGCAAATGGCAGTGCCGCAGAATGGTGGAGGGGGGTGATGAAGCCAATCACTACGCCTATAAATCTAACACGAGAGGTATCTTATGTGAGTGGACCGCCGTCATGTACTTGTGGAGTGTTGGTGCGTGGACACCGGCCGAGTCCAAACTGGATCAATCATTCTCTCCACCTGAAGAAGGACTCATTATTCTAGTGGTCCGTCCTTTACTTTCATCCCCAAATCAAAAGCTGAAATAGTGTCCCGTTTAACGCCGGAATGAACGGCTTCCAGAAAATTCAGAGCATTCACATTCACTGCGAGATGCTGGTATAGACACAGCCTCCCTGTAGACTCTATGGTCTATCTCTCCTTTCTCTCGCTTTGCTCTGTCTTATTTCTATCAGCCTCTCTCAGTCTCTCTTTCACTGCCACCTGGCAAATTCACAGTCCGCTCACGTCACATCGCTCTGCAAGGGCACCTGTGTCCTTCCCACCAAAAATTAAAAAAAAAAATACTGCTCAGATTCCTGTGCCAACCTTTCCATTAGCAACATTACGAGATCATACCTAATCCCTCTGCTACATCACCTTTTGGATGCCACTTGCTTGCTGGCAACATAGGCTCAGAGTATGAGTAATTAGGAGGAGAAATTAATGAAAGATGTTCTTTTTGAGGAGAAGGGCAATGCTGATAAAAGAGGAGTAATTTTCCTCATTCAGAGCAGATGAATTGTCCACAGCTAAAAATGTACAACGAGGGGCTCGGCTCTGAAAGCACACAGGCTTTCTTCTCTTTGTTGTAACTGTCAGTCATGTTAATGATCAGTTTGGTACGAATAATGTGATCAATATCAGACACAGTAGAAGGTTGGTGATTACAGGGAGGGCTGAGGATTATCAGCCTGTCTAACACTACAGCCAGGCATGCTGTGAGGCTGTGATGTTACATACATGTCATTCATATGAAAGGGGAGGTGAACTTGGCAAACAACATATTACATAAAAGTGTGGGGAGAACATTGCTGTCTTATGTAGGCGTTGTGGTTGCTGTGATACAGAGCATATTGTGCATTATGTGGTTACAGTTTTTAATGATATATGTTCATATTAAACTGAAGCCCCTTCTTTAAAACATGATCATTCACAGATTTAGGACAGTTAAATTCATATTAAATACATAATGAAGTGGTCAGGTATTGACCGCAGTCAGGATTTGAAGGGACACCTGGACCTTCCCTGTGCAGATTCCTGTGAGAAGGGCATTGCTGCTTTTCTCATCAACAGCCAATTAAACAGGCTCCTGGACTGTGGTTTGGATGCAGCTATGATGAAGAGATGCTTTAAATGAACAGGACGCCCAGTGGAAGAACTGTATGTAATGATATTATTAAGTGACAGTGGGGATAATGGGTGAATTCTCACAGAGGATTATAAACTTACACTATTCATTAAGATTCTCCAAATGTAATTTTCACATCCCTCAGCCCTTTGTATTACCTGAAATAGTCCATACAAAGAGTGAAAGGCTACGCTCTGCTGAAAGGAAGAACGACATGTGACTTGTCATTTTACTATTTTATCTGGCTGCTAATGGGGATCCGTGGGGCGACTGTGCTTTGAAGCGCTGGCACAAAGGGGTGCATTTGTGCTCCTCCAAAACTACATTTGGGAGGTGCGGCAAAGATGCAGCGCCCTTCCCTTTTAGAAAATGGATGTAACGCTGCTATCACTGTACGGCGGTGTGTGTCTGTGGAGGCAGACAAAGCAAACTGCAACAGCATATGGTGAGGAGACTGGCAACTCTCTGCGGATAGCCAATTAACATTAGGTTGTTAATAAGTGGTCCCTGAGAGGCGCCGTGCATTACAATCAGGGGCTTGAAAAGATGTACAGTGTCTAGTGATTCAGCCATCATCTCCTGCACTGACACTGAGCGCAGGAATAATAAGCATCTGTGTGACTCCTCTTCCTCGCTATGTGACAGGCCACTGCCATTTAGCACCCCTGAATTTAAACAAGTTACTAAAAAGGGGCTGAACTATTGTGATGAGACATGGAAACCAGTAATTGTTCTATAAATTCAGTCTTAATGTCAAAATATTTAGTCTGCTACATCCCCTGTGCTTTTAGACAATGTAACCTTGGTTTCTGAATCCTAATAGAATAAATACAGCTTACAGCACAGGGCCGTAATTTACAGTAATTGCTCAAATATGCTGCAGTCCTCCATTGAACTGTAACACGTACTTTGTCTTTTAGCAATATGTTTTCTTAACAAGATACTAGTAGGAAATTATGTGCTCAACAGATGAAAAGGTGTGGCTCATACTATATACTAAAAATAACTGTATTTATAGTGCAGTGGTGATGAGTGTTTAAGTGCTGCAAGCTCTGATTTTCACCTGTTTGCTTTGCCTCCACATTTGTACACAAATAACTTAGCTGGCAACTCATCAGCAGTTTCAGATTTTACAAGAGACCCTCATCTTGAACCAGAAAAATTTTTGAGTGACCAAGTGAAAGGATACGATGCAACACATGAAGGCAGTTATTTAAGGAATAGTGGTGTTTTTTTTTTTTTTAAAGGAAAACTCCAGTTCAGACCAGTCCAGGGTGATTGGGTCGGACAATAGGAGTTTAGGGCTATTGTGGCATTGTAGAGCCAAGTGGATGTTTCACAGACACACAATGCCAGTGATTCATGGTTTTGTTCTCTACCAGCTGAGTGGTCCCAAACTAGAGGAGCCAAGAGGTTTGCTCCTCTGCATCTCCCAATGACTGCACTTTCTGCCATATGTTTTCTATTTATCCTGTTGTGAAGTCTCTCCAAACTGCCCATCACATATGCCTCTTCACCTAGACTCCTCTGGAAAATGTGTAGATTTATCTCTGGCCTCCATGTGAGAGCGCAGCCAGGGACCCCTCCTCTTTGACCCAGCGTGTCAAATGGTAGACTATCACTATTTGCAGGAATGTTTTCACCATTTCAACCACTGTCGTTGCTGCGCAAACACCAAATGAGGGATATCATTAAAGAAACGCTCCAGATGTGGCCGAGGAGACTGGGTTCAATTCGAAGCAGACCTGTCTCAAAGACCGCTGAGATGTGCTGAGGATGAAGTAACTGCCTTGTAAACCACGGCCGCTTTTTGGAAGTGCCAGAGCACAGGTGCAGCGCGTTAAAGCCTCGTTTGCAAACACGAACCCGCTTTTATCTGGTACAAGGCTTTTTCTACCTCACCTGGGTCTAGGATCTTACGGCTTTTGCTGCGCTTTAAGCGCCCATCTGCGAATGAAAGAGTCGTGAAACGAGTTGCTGTGGAGGCGCCTGTACTTGTGTTCTCTTACCTCCGGTGTTGGTGCGTTTGGTACAGCCGGCCTCCTCCGCCGGAGTTTCCAGGGGCCGTTTGCGGGAGTCCGCGTTGTCCGCCTCCATGTGCGGCTGCTGCAGGCTGTGGAGGTTCGGGTTGGAGTATATTCCGTTATGGTCCACGGCTGCTCCGCCACCACCGGCCATCATCATCTTTCCCCGCGCCAAGCTCGAAATAAAAATGCGCTATTTCCCCTCAAACACCCTGAACACAAACACGCAGGCACACACACCGCCTTCAGCACCACATAGCCCGATAGCGCGCACCGCGAAGCCAAGTTCTGCTAGGTTTGTTTCGCTCTTGAGACGATCTCCAAGGGATCAAAATGCCAGACAACACCGGGCTCGGGTCTCTTCTTTCTACTGATCCACGTCCCTCACAGAGCTAAATATAAAAAGCCCATTGAGTGAGACGCGCTCCTTCACCGCGCTCTTCGTCGTTCCAACACCATGCTCCTTATTGTTGACGCGGAACAATCCGGGAGACGATTGGCCATCAAACAAGTGCAAATAATAAGCTCCGGTCGAAGAAACTGTGAAAGATTGGCTCAAGTCATCTTTACGCCATGTTCATCTGTGCAAAAGTCCTCAGTCTGATAAGTGCAGCTGTTGTTATTGTTGCTTTTGTAGTTCCAGAGGGGAGAAATATAGTTTGGGAGCAGCGCAGAGGACTACAGTGCCACTGACCGGCCAAAACACGGGGCCAGCACGAAAAAAGACCAGCCTCCTGTCATGCCTGAGCAGCTAACAATCAAACGAGGAACTATAACGGACTTCTAAAGCTGTCACTCAAGTTGTATTGGCATTTTGATGGATCCTTTTAACAGATGAGTTATACTTCTGTAATTAAGGCAAGACACTGAGATATCGACTTGATTTCTTTCTTACATAATGTAGTTTTTTCATCACGTAATGTTTTCATATATAAGTAAAGGGTTTTAATGTAAACAGATACAAAATCTGAAAAATAGATCAAAATTCTTGGTTCATATACAAAGGAAATTTGATATACATCCCATGTAAGTGGAAAAAGAAAACTGGCATTACAAATCATATTTTTAAGTTTTGAGTAAAAACTTGAATGAATCAGGCATCTATCTATCTATTCTTCTATCTCTATCACTCTGTCCAGGTAAAATATGTATCACAATCCTTCTCTACAAAATGTCTTGCCTTAAATAATTTTATTTTCATATTTATTTCTACTTGTGTCTTCATCTACTTTCACCTGAGGTCTGTCCACTGTATCTTCCTCTTTGGAGATTCTGAGCTGTCACTATCCTACAAGAAGGCAAAACAAAATCACCATATTAACCATTTCATACTTTTTAAAATTGGCAAATACAATTGTTCAGAAATACACTACTGGCAATGGAGCAATTTGAGCAGACTCCCCCGCAGATGCAACAGGGACCGACCCAAAGTTGTTATTTATTATCTGCAAATCACTGTACACATCGGCTTTGCCCATTTTATAATTACACAAATCCCAGTGAGCATAGCCCTCATTACAGGTGAAGAATTTTCAAATTAACTGAGGATAACAGCATTTGTCAGTGCATTTATTAGCCTAATGAGCTAGTTCATGAGTTATGTTTACAACCACCGCTTGACATCACGCCTTTCAGTCTTTTATATGGCACATGCGGTTTTATTTTCTAACCAGTGTCTTTATCGTAACAACACTTAATTAAATGCAGCTCTAATCGAATTCTTCACATTGGGGCATTTTTATAAGGCCCCTGTGCAGGCTGACTCACGCAGATAAACCACTCTGTCCTAATTGGAAGCCGTCTGGATAGCGCCCCCCTCTGCAGTGTCCGCTTCCTCCCCTATGACTTCAGCCTGGGTCCGATGTGACACCCGTTGGGAGAGGCGGTCCAGCACCAGAGCCGAGGTGGAGCTGAGACTGTGCTGTAGATAAGAGCGTCAGATATATGTCACTCATTATTACTTATTATCATGCATAACAGAAATCTGATCATTATGGGATTTGTGGAGTTATCAGATTAGCGAAATGCCAAACAGTTATATCTGAGTTCTTTCTGACTGTTCACACCTGTGCAGGATTTTATAAGGAAATTCATGCAAAAAGGGTAAACTAATGTGGCAAAGACAGTAATGAAAGAGAAAATGTTAAAGAGTGAGAAAGAGTTTTTGCTTCTGTGCATAAAGACACACCAAAATTCAGATCTAATTATTGGGTTTATGCATGCACCGATATGTTACTGCTATCTGATATTGGCACAGATTTTGAACAACTTGCTGAAATAAATATCAGTTTTATGTATAAACTGACGTAATAAGACTCTTTACTGGTCGTAGTTGATCCGGAAAGTCTCTGAATGTTTGAACTTTTATCTATACAAAGCTGTTCTGTAGTTACTTAAGCATTAAAAACAGTTACATAACACATTAGGATCAGTTCTGACTTATTTTAGTTTTTGCTTAAAGAAAATATGTTTTCAGTCCGTGCTTTGGTATTGTTTGATATAGGGTATTGGCAGATATTTAAAGCTATAGTACTGAAATCAGTATCAGAACAAAAAAAGCTGGATCAGTGCTTCCCTAATTGGGTTATCTGATTATTCTAGTTGTCAGATTTTATTGACCATAAACTGGTAAATGTACACGGTGTGTCGGAGATGACATTGGATTTGGGAACGACGAAACTGCATTTGGGGAGTAAGAAGGGATGCTGTTAAAAGTATTTTCAGCCCATTCAGTTGAGAAAAACATTTATACAAGGGCAAACAAATCAAAAAGTAATTTTGTTTATGACATCCTCCTTTTTGTCCTCTTAGTATAAATTTGATATTGCACATATTGCATTTCAGGATAGGGCCAGAAAAGAAAAGTTACACCATACAACCTGTTAAGTTACTAAGTAATAAAAGTATAGCTGTGGTAATATTTTCATTTTTATAGTTAGAAAATAGCTATCTCACATTTTTGAACACTATATGTATGCCCCAGAGACTGAATTTTGCAAGTAAACAGAGATGGGATGGGGGGTAGGTGAAAACAAACATTTTCTAAGCATTCAATCCTCAAATGTAGGAAAATTGAGGATTGCTCAAACATGCATGGATCAATCAAAATCCACTTATAGAAAGCTAATTGTGAGGAAACACCATTATAACATAGACAAAAGCTTGTAAATGTAGAGTTTACATAACAGGGCCCTTTAAACTACACTTGTGATTGTTTTATTTACCAAGTACAATCACTGTGCATTGTTCCCAATATTTCCTTCTCTAATTGGTTCCAAATGTTTTATTTGATTGTAAATTCCTCCATTGAATGTGCTAAATTGTAGTAATGCATGTGATTACATTGGTTGCATTTAACTACCAAAATAGGGTTAACCATAAAACAGCACAAACCGCAAGAATAAAAGCAAACACAGGCCTTGTTTTTCTGCCTCAAGCTTGTAGAGGTCAGCAACTACATGACCCCTTTAAATTTGTTGCTGAATTCCGGCATTTTTAGCTCATGAGCAAGTCCTGCAGAAAGCCTAGTAGCACCACATGTACTCATAAAGTGTAGTGTATAGTGCATTTAAAGGTGCACTATGTAACTATTCTGGTGGAGGGTCTGCTAAACGCTTTTGTTATTTCTCTGCCTGAAATGTTCCACAGTATGACATTTAACAGGTCTACCTAACATTTATTCAAATACAGGTGGTTATATAACTCAAAAACACCAGGCATTCTGGCTGTGAGCACGGTTGCCTCTCCACAAATATGACCTGTTTCCTTAAATGAAGTTTAAACTGCCTTCCTTGTGTACAAGTAGTTCCAGCATTTTGGAAGGATTTTTGTGTTGATCATAATAATGTATTAGTTTTAGCACTTTTCCAGACACTCAGAGTCATCTTATAATTTTGTACATTATTCGTTCACTTCAAACTGGGTGTTGGTAAGCTACTATTGTGGTCACAGATGCCCTGGGGCAGACTGTTAGGAGCAAGGCTGTCAGTTTGTGCTATCAGCCCGTCCCCACACATTACCTAGTGTGAATGTGGTGTGAGCGTTTTGGTGGTTCAAGTATCTTGCCTTAGGACAGTTTTGCCACTGACAGATGACATCAAGGTATTCATGTATTTTTGTACTTTTCTTATCAGCTTTTTTTCCAACTCTTCTACATCATTTGAGTAATGTAAAACTATGATAAATATTTACCCTGGTGTCCCAGCATAATAAATAACGAACAAACAATGAAACCTGTCATATGTATTTTAAACCCTTAACATTACAGTGACAAACAACATGGTAGCCCAGCTGTAATAGTATATACCTCATGTATTCTATTGTATTGTACCTGTAAAATGTGCAGGCCCTTGAGAGTAAGGACAGCCAGTTCTTTGAGCCCATCTCCTGTTAGATCTAAGTATATGATGGACAGTAAAGGACTCTTAAAGCTCCGCCTCCACTGCAGCTGAAAGTGGCCGTCCCCTCTGCTCACTGCTGCCTGGTATTTGTAACAAAGAAGTTCCTGCGCAGAAGGAGGGAGAGAGCCCTTTTTGTAACAGAAAGAACTGCATTGGGATAAATATGGTGTGCACCCAACCAGTTCCAGAAGGAGGTAGATTTGTCAAAGATTTGCAGTCAAGTAAGAATGTTACTTTAACATACTATGAATCAAGTAGAAGCAAGAAGTGGTGACCCAAATAATGATTCAAGTGAGAGAAAAAAAAGTATTGAGAAACTACCTCTTGAGTACTGTGTAACAATTTGGACGTAAAATGTATTTAATGACATGAATACAAATTCTGGTGCTTTCAAAGAATAGAAAGAAAAATTACAAAAACTAAATCATATCTGAAGGAGGGCTGTAAGGAGCAAATGTTACAAATCATGTAATATTGTCAATGTGAAGTTTTTGTCTCAGAGGGAAGAAAAACAAATACTTTTACTCGAGTAATAGTGTTGAGTATTGTCGAGGAGAGCTAAAAGTATGATGTCAGTATCCCAACTATAGCCACAAGGGGTCAGTAAAAGAACAAATAATGACTTTAAAGAGAGGCAGTGGCACGGTAATAGAGGGTCACCCTTCTGAGTACTACTAATTAAGAAATAATATTTATCTAAAGAAACTGACTTTGCCCCAAAACAGTCTGTAATTGTCTGCAGATCTCAATAATTTCATGACAGATCTCAAACAGCATTTTAGAAAATCAAGTTTGTCGACATCAGTTAATGTGTACTGTATGATATTCACTGCTTCCTCTGTTTTATTTATTTATAACAAAAAACAAATGTATTCATCAAAAATAAATACCTGTCCATATGTTCCCAGAAGCACTTCCTTCTGTCCGTCAAAATCCAGGTCGATAACGAGAGCGCTCAGAACAGCATCAAACTGATCACTTTCTGCGAGGGTCATGCAGTGGGCAAGGCCATGCTCCTGAACATCTCTGAAAACAAAACACAAACTTTATCAGAGCTTTCAAGATGTTTTGTCAGCTATACAGGTATAATTTATGCCGGCTTTGGTTCATTGTTTTAGATTTTAAAGGTCCTAATTACAAAAAAATTACTATTGTGAGCTTTAAGTCATGTTATAATGTTGTTAGTTCCTCAAAAACATACCTGGAGTTGTGTTTTGTTTCATTCACATGTATTCAATCGCATGTACGAGTAACCCTTTATTATTAAGTCTACATCTCCAAAGCTCAAAAGGCTCTGTTGCACCTTGTGATGTCATGAAGCAATAATTTTCAAGTTTTAACAGCTACGTTTCATCTAGTTCAGTGGAGATTGGTAAATCCAGGGCTGAAATCATCCAAATGATTCTAGCAAAGTTGTATGGTGTTTAACTGAAGCACTTCCTGTATTAAAATACGACATGACAAAGTGGAACAGAATGTTTTGTTTGAGAGAAGAACTCAGCCCAAATATGCAGGGTTTGTGTGTTAAACATGTGTGAATGAAACAAAACACAACTCCAGGTATGTCTGTGATGAGGAAACAACATAAGATAGATTTGAAAATAGATTAATAATGCAATTATTAATATATATTAATATCACGCTATTACCGTAATGCTAAACATTAAAAGAAACAAGTTTGCTGACTGGTCCATGCATACGACCCAAAGATAGCTACAATTCATCATAATGATGAGCAAAGGATTTTTTTTCATTTGTGCCAAAAATGATGATTCAATACTGCTGAATCCTATATGTGTCACTGTCGTAGGAAAAATAAAGGAGAACTGGAAGTTAAGAGCAGTGGGCGTGCATGGGGAATTGGGGGAAACTGGAATTTTCTGAGAACCGGTGTCTTGATTTCAAGAGAATATAGATTACTGAAGCATGCATCATTTAAATACAAATTTTGAGCTACAAAGCCACCTGTAATTAAATGTAAGGAAGAAGAGCTGTTTAATGTCATATTGTCGAACATTCGAAGCAAAGAGTTACATAGTGCATCTTTAAAGCTCACACGAGTTAATTTTGAGTAATATACAAGCTTTAAGTAATGCAGTGACAAAATATGGGGTATACCTGTAGATCACTGCCAGCTCTATGGTACTGGTCACTAAGAGATTGTACCCGCCCATTTCCTCTCCTGCAAAATGAATGCATGTTACAGAGTAGATTACATGGAAAATGAACACACAAAGTTTGATGTATTAAACAATAATAGAGGAGCCACAGACCTTGAGTTATCTTACTGGGTGCGTTTTTACAGCTGAGTGGAAAGAGCAGCACTGTTGAAATTGGACTGTCAAACTGGACGCGCCAGCTCTGCAGAATCTCTGGCACAAACAAACCCAGATGAAATACAATGTAATACGTCTTACAGTGAGTGGTTTTAGTTTACTTTGTAGTGTGAAATGAACAAAATACAACTGAAAAGGGGACAGAATATAACAGAATATAGGGCTTTACCTGGTCCCGTCTGGTTGACTAGAGCTAGTCCAACACAGCCGCTCTGACAGCCGAACGCAGAGAGACGTTTTCCCTTGTCGAGACTCACCATGTCTAACCATAACACACTGAAAAAGTTAAATAGAGTTAAAATGATTTGATAAAGGTGCAACTTTTCTGCTGCAGGTTAAGCCACCTGTCCTCCATGGAGATGTTATAGACCTTTTTCTTTTTTTTAGGGTAAATTTCACTTACGTTAATGCTTTTCTATGAGGAAATGTCTGTGGAAATGTCTGGCATATTCTCCACCTGCTTCATAAACCTGCCTACCTCCTAACCAAATCTTTATCCAAGAAGGTCCACAAAGAACTTATTCTGTCCATGAAGATTTTATCCACAACTATCAAGGTAAGAAAGACAAAAACGTAAAGGCGAACAACGATGACACATTAGTGAACTACCCCTGAGCAAAACAAACATTATGGTCATGAATAAAACATAAGTAACTTGTGAACTCAGACCAATTCTACAATTAAAATTTTAAAAATCAATTTCATGATGTAAATATGAGCATAGATAGAGAGATTTGTGCAGTTCAAATGCGAGACATGTAAACTGTGAACATCTGTATCATTCGAACTGCACAAATATGCTAATATCTACATCATGAAATCGTTTTTTGATGTTAATTCTAGAATCAGTCTGAGTTCACAAGTTACTTATTAATCTTATTAATGAATTACTTATTACTTATGTTTTATTCATGACCATTATATTAGTTTTGCTCAAGAGTAGTTCACTAATGCTAGTTGTTGTTAGCCTTTAAATTTTCGTCTTTCTTACCTTGATAGTTGTGGACAAATTCTTCATGGACAGAATATTTCCTTTGCGGACCTTGTTGGATGAAGATTTGGTGATGGGGCAGATTTATGACACAGGTGGAAAATATGTGAGACATTTCCACAGACATTTCGCCATAGAAAACCATTAACCGGAAGCCCCTCAAACCTACAGCGGGGCACTTCCAGACATTGTGAAAAAGATCTGTTGCTCTGTTTGGAATGTTCCATGGTATGACATTAAACATATCCATCTATCATCTCTTTTATTCATTCATTACAGGTGTTTTTATTGCTCAAAAACATAACATAATAATTTCTTCTGCGAATATGGACGACTCTCCACAGATTTAAATTGTAATGTAGTAGTGATGTAACTTGTTTCCATGCAAATAAGCAGGTAGTGGGCCCTCCAGCAAAAAAGTTGCACAGCGCACCTTTTAAGTTATAAAGTTGGGTTGTCTGGGGAGGCTATTGATACTTTGCAGCTGATGTTATCAACGGTCCTTGAGGGTATGATGCTACCTGTAAGCACTGCTTTATCTGACACTTGTTAGACTTTAATGTTAACTTTATTTTGACACAATTTGACCAGAAAGAGGTGGTTTAGTTGGAATTACAACAGGTGAGATGATTTGTGGTGTTAAACAATCTCTCACACATAAAATTACAGTCACAAGCTTGCTAGCATTAGTTACATTTTTCATTCAGTCATTTTTTCTTCTTATCTACAAAATGTATATGTCCAAAGACACTTCTGAAAATGTCATTCTGTCATTCAAAATCTCAGTGGGATCTACTTGGTTAAATAAATAAATAATATACAAAAAAGAAGGATTGTATAAAAAGCGTATTCCTTTACTATATTTTGTGTGTGTGGGTTTTTTTTTTTTTTTTTTTTTTTTAAGTTGGAATTGCGGTTTTAGATTTAAGTTTAAGGACCACCATGTGCTTGGAGCATGGCATTAAAGTTGCCCGTCTCCATAGAAACAAAAGAAAAGTGACATTGTGCAGCTTTAAGCACTATGAAATTCTCATCCTTCGTTTTTTTTTTTTTTGGATCAGCTCATATGAAATAAAAATGACATTTGACTTGCACACACTGACTTGCTGGGCAGTTGTTCCAGTTCTGGGAAGAGCCTCTCGACTGGATGCTCCTCAAACTGGTGCAGGGAGGCATTCTGTCCAGACACAAGAGAATATTCCAGGTTTATAATTATTACAAAATTCAGCAGCACGTGTCCTGACTAAGAGGTCGAGACCACATTACACCAGTTTTAAATCAATGCTTTGGCTCCCCTAAAAGTTCTTTTACTGGTTTCAAATGGTCTTGTGCCTTGTTATCTTTCAGAGCTTTCTTTCAGGCTCCTACTATTCCTAAAGTTGTCTTTCCGGTTCTATGGTCCTCGTCTATGGAACAGCTGGAGGACCTCAGAGCTGCAATGAATGTTCATGACCAACCTTTAAGTTTTTGATTAATATTTATTGTTTTATTTGTTTCCTATTTTATATCCAAGTTCTTATCTTTTAACTTGTATTGTTTTATCAGTTTTAGAATCTCCCGTGTTTCCTTTGTATGAGCCCCCATCTCTCCCCTGGGTTCTCTTCTCTCGCCACAGATGGCTCCTCTCATGATTCTTCGTCAGTTGGTTCGTCTGTACTTAGCCTCATTTATCTGCACCTAGCCTTTTTTTATTGTATTGTATTGTATGTTAGTGCGTGTGTGTGTGCTGTATGGTCTCAGAGAGTTGTGGGGGTATCTGGGTGGAAGGGCATCAGGGATTGTCTTTTAATGACTGTAAAGCACTTTGTATTACATTTTTGTATGAACAGCTCTATAAATAATGTTTGACTTGAAAGAAGAAGGCTTTGTTTAGACGTTTTTTGTCAGGCGTCTGCTATAGAACAATGGCAATGATACACAATACGCAGCTTTCTCTCAAACTGAAAAATGTGTGTAAACATTCATTCATATTGGGTCGGGCAATATGGAGATACATCTGAATCCTGATCTGATTCATTCATTTTCTGTTGAATGCAACTCTGTCTTTAAACGCACTTGTCTCCAAACACTCCACCTATTGGTAAGGATCGAATCACAGTGAAGGGTGAACTCTTTTATTATATATACTTTTTTATCTTATCTTATTTTTTTTAAACATACAAGGAAATATTCAGTTCATAAGACTGACTGTAGAAAATGAGAGAAAATAAGATAAACAATAATGCCCAATGAAGTCTAGAAAAATGTGTCTTCACCTCTTTGTACAGGTGAATCCTCTGGTCATGTCCGCTGAGCAGAAACACTGTCTCTTTAGCTCCGTCCTCACTCTGCACTCTGAGAGACAAGACACACTCAGTATTCAGAAAGCTACACTTCTGTATTCTGTCACACTGAGATGAGGCAGTGACATGCCAGCCTGGTTCACACACAGTCTTTTAGCTGCTCTCTCCCTCTCTCTCACTCACTCACTCACTCTATCTCTCTCAATCCCTCTCACCCACTTGTCTCTTACACTAGGTCTCTCTCCTTCCCTCCCTCCTTCTCTCATTCTCCCTCTCTCAGACTCAACCCCCCTCCCCATCCTTCCTCACTCCTTCCTCCCTCCTTCACTCCCACTCCCTCACTTACTCGGTGTGGTAGAGCTGGAACGGTGTGAACTGCAGCTCCAGATTGAGGCAGCTCTCTGTTCACACAAACGCAGAAACAGTAACAGAAAAGGACACCACCACCTCACAGGCAGGTCACAGTAATAATTACTATATCAACTTCAATAAATGAGAGATGAAACAATTATTTTGGTGGGGGTGAGCATTTATCGCAGGTACTTTTTCTTTTGTACCAGTACTGAACTTTTTGTTATTTTTCTGAACTAGGATAACATTTTAACTGTAGAGAGTTAATTAAATAACTTCTATGACTCATTGTTGCTATCCCTTTAGTAATCATGTGCAATACTGTGAATCATCTCTGGTACAGTTCACTGAAAACATTTTACCTGCTCTCTCTATATATATGCTGTCCATATGCTGCTATTATCCAGATTTTTAATATCTACTGATTTTGACTGCATGCGTCCTATTAATGGAATAAATTATTAATATTGTCATTCATATGAATATTGTCATTCATCTTCTGTATTTTCTTCAGCACTTCTCTATCGCACTTCAAAGTTTGTTATGGTCACATAAAGAGGCATTGGTGCCTCTTTTCACTCACGTGCGATAGACTCCAGGTTGAACTCTGACCCCGGCTCATAGTCACAGTAGATGTTCAGGAAGGGCGTGGCTTTGTCACCGGAGTCCTGCCGCAGAGAATTGACCAATAAAATTATTAAACATGGCACCTTTACTTTTATCTCAAGGTAATTTAATTAGATTTAATTAAAAATCTGATAATAACAGCTATTTTATAGTGTGTATTATTTTATTGAAAGTACAGGCTTTATTCTAGGGCTGCAATTGTCTAGTATTTTAGTAGTCTACTAGTAAGCAATACATTTTTCACCTAGTTAGCTAGTAAAACAATTATTGGTATTGCACACTGAGACTTAAAAAATATGATTTAATAAAAAAATATGGAAAATGAAGACCTGTAGAATGGTGTACATATACAAATAAAGCGTTATTGATGGAAAAATTAAAATGGTTTATTCTTTTTTGACATTTTAATCTAATAAAGCTACTGTCGTTTTAATAAAATGTATCCAAACCTTATTATGATCACTGAGATCTGAACTACAATCAAAGTACAATTATTTGATTATTTCATTAGTTAACTAGTCATGACTGATTACTCCATATTTTTATTTTGTTTGTATTTTAATATAACATATCACATTGACAGTTGACACAAATACAAACCTTTATGAATGTGATCCCAACCACCAGACCTCTTTTTGGAGGAGACTTGTTGAAGGCGTCGATTGACACGATTTCAGCATCAACTAAAGAAAGAAAATACATTATGTAAAGTCTGGGTTTTGTATATACTGACATTCTACACCTCAAATAAACTAATAAATAAAATGAATATTTACTCACTATACCACACTTAAACCTTGTGTTGAAATCTTTGGGCTGCTGTTGCCTTATAAAGCTGACACCGCCAACCTTCACACAACGAGCTTAGTATAATAAATGTAACTTATTGTAGCGGATATCAGCATATGGGAGCACAGAACACACAAAACCGCCTCCTCGCAGTTTGTGTCTGCCTCGTTTCCCACTCACACAGTTGAGATCACAGTGCATATTCTAACACATTAATTAAAGTTAAAGAGAGGAAGAACACATTTCATTTTATAGTCTATTAGTTTTACCATTGGCTTGTTACATTGTCATCACACCCAAACATATTACACCATAGACTACAACATAATTATTATAATGATTTTTTTATTCATTGAGTATTTTTATAGAAAGGTTTTGTGCTAATTTATTTTGTAATAACCAGGGCGTAACAAGTATTAGCACATCAATCACATTATGATCACAATTTAGCTCCAATACAAAATGTATGATGATGCACATCTCAATATGTTAAATTATTTTACTATGATTATGATTATAATTATGGCAATTATTATTACTGTTACGGCAATGTCATGATCCAGAAATACATTCAATAATCAATATATAATTCACAAGATACTCTACTACTTTTTAATGAACCAAACACATTTTAGCAACAATATATCTTTACTAAACCATTACCTGTGCAAAATTAATATGAAATATATTTATTTTAAACAATTTCAAAGCAATGATATGTCAGGTGTATTCCATAAACAAGTTCCCATACACTAAATAAGCATCAAAATTGCCGTGTCACCAAAAAATTGCTAAAAGATAAAAAAAATATATGTATACGATACAAGAGCCTGCGATAACGATACTGTATTACCAAATTAAGTATCACGATATAGCAATATATTTACACACATCTAATCTAAAAAGGTTGTTTTGTTTAAAGGTGCAATGCATAACTTTTCTGGTCTGTTACTGGCTTGGCTCCATGGAAATGTTATTGCTTTGCTTGGAATGTTAGACAGTATACTGTTATACATCTATCTAGCATTTATTTCATCACATTATTTAATTGGGGGGAAAAAAACTGAAAAATTGAAAAAAATGCATTCATACAGTTACGGTGTTGCCTCTTCACAGATCTGACCTATAACTTGGCCTGGTGACATCTCCATGGAGACACATCAGTCTATTGCCATACTGTGGTAGAGCATTCCAGTCCAGAGTATTAACATCTCCATATACAAACAGGTGTAGGACTTTCTACCAGTAAAGTTACGCAGTACCCTTTTAACCTGTCACTAACTCTATGTAAACTCTGTCATCATGTTTCATAATATTCAGTCGTCTATTATCTGATAGTCTTGAGTTAATCTTATTGCTAAAACTACAATTTTGTTTTGTCAAAGTTTCTTTTAAAAGATAAAGTCATTTTGCCTTAATTATTGTTTCCGAATAACAGGGTCCATCAAGGAAGGATTATTTTTTGGTTAGAGTGAAGTAAAACATCCACAGTCATTTCAAGAGTGATAAAATACTCTGATAGTGTCACATTATTGTGTTGTCATGTTGCTCAGTAGTTTTATGTGAGTGGGCCAACAGACAGTGTTAGCTGCAAATGTGATTTGATTCAAATGTAGATTTTGCACATATTATAAACCTGATACACTGGAAGACGTTTAGTTTAGGTTGCTCAGACCAGAATTTAAACCTAATATAGATGATAAATTATAGAAGCTTTTGTAATTATTTAGATTTTTTAAAGGGACCAAGTGAATGCTTAAATAATGAATAAATATAATAAAAGTCAGTTAGTTCCACTTCTAAAGATGACGTATAACCACCATCTTATTTATTCATATTCATATTCTTCTACTGTATATGAGCGGAAATCCTGGAGGAGAATCTAATGTCTATGAAGCTGATGGAATTAAATGAAAGATAGTGAAAATTCTCGGCACACATGGCGCAGAGTATGCACTGGATGAAATGGCTCTATTGTGGATATAAATTGATGTTTTCTTCCGTAGTGGCACGAAATGGAAACTCGTGCATGTTTTGTTCTATTGGCCTTTGTTTTGCCTGTAGACATTTTGTAGTTAGTTTTTTATGTACTACATTTTGTGATAATGTTAATTACATGTTGTTCATATTTACAGTAACTTTGGTTTTGTATATGTCGTGCTATTAGATCTATGCTAGTTGTTATATTGAAGAATAGCTCCATTAACTACTGTGCAGTATGTCCATTATACATGTGGTGTTGTGTAACAGTGGTGTGGAGCCAGCAGCATTCATGAGCATGTTCCTGCCATATTATTTCTCTAGGTAGCACTGGTTGGCTTTGAAGGTTTGAATGGATCTTTGTGTTTTGTCCTCTACAGTACATCTTCTATAAAGTAATTTCTTAAAATGTGTAGCCTAACATAGGCTTTAGAAGATGCAGGATAAAAACAAGAAAACGCTCATGTCGCTGCTCTCATGTCACTCATTGTCGGCAGAGGACACCAATTATTGTATTGAAGTGGAGTAGATTAACAAATTTTGGCCCCTATCCAGAGGCCATTTTCAATAAAGTGTATGCAAGGATAAATTTTGGTTATAATTTAGTATCTTGGCAATTTAAACTTGGGTTATTTACAGTGTATTACAATCACTAAGAGTAAAATAACAAGTGTAATTGTTTTAAAATGTTTCCACTGCAACCTGCTCCTTCAGTTACAGACTGCAACTATTTATATATTTGGGACAAGAGGCCTGTAAACAATCTTTCCTGCAAATACAAGTAATCTTTCTGTGGCATATTTTGCATTTCTGTTAACAGTTAAAGGTATATCCATTTACGACCTTGTATGTACAGTATGCTAAATTAGTTTAAGTCCACCTTCCCCAGTGTATAATGTACAGGGAAGCTCCTTTGTAAGACATGCATGCACCTGCTGTGTGAACCGTCACTATTCTGATATCAGACAAAGGGCCCATATCTTTCAAATAAACCAATGTTGAAGTAACTCCAAAATCTGTTGGTGGCGTCATGTACCAGACAGCTCCTTACTTAAATGTAAAAACCCAACTCACAAACAATTTTCTGACTGTGGGCTCACATCTGGACAGTGACACAACAAATCTGTGTTTTGAAGCAATTCAATGACTATGGAGGAATTCACCTACAAAAACATAAACAGATTTCAACTTGGATGTTAATTGCAGAAGTAAAGGCCCCCACACACTACAAGAGAATTTGCCCGATTTTGGCTGTGATTTGCTTCTCTCTGAGTTTGGGGAGGTGTGACCCCATTTTTTTGTCTTCATATGCAATTTTGAAGCCACTGTGCTCCTTGTGTGTGGTGTCAGTGCGACTCTGAGCTGCTCTGTCAGATCATAACCATCAAACATCAGCAACACTACAGTAACAGCTAATAAATCAGCTTCAGGGGCAGACGGAGTGACAGACACAGAAGCACAAGATAAAAACTTGGGATATAGTGAAAATAATGTGCCGACTTTATTACTCACCTTTCATAAAGTGGTGAATTTAAAGTACAGTATCTCATCCACATTATCTTTAGAAATTGTCCACCCCAAATAATGGCACCTAGACCACAAAACTGCACTATTAATCTGGTTTGAAGCATCCATTAAAAGGAAAAGGCGAGAGAAGGATCACATGTGTCTCTTTATATCCACACAGCGCACAGATCGAGGTGAATCCGCAGACTAGTGATAGTGACTCTACTTCCTGTGGACTTTATTGCCAATCTTTTACGCTTTAAGTCGATTTGAGCATATTAATAATGAATACAACATGCCTGAGTGATGAGAAGCATGGAGTTTCCAGTAAAGTTAATGTTTGTGAAGACTGAAGAGTGGGGTAATAAATATACAAATAAAATTATATGACTAAATATTTTTAATGGTGTATAAAGAACAACTAGTGGTTAATTAAAATTATCTTATCCACAAAGCGAGTCTCCACTGCATACCCATTGAACCCACAAGCCCCAGCCTACTATACACTATAATTAATTAGATGTTTTGTTTCTCTCTTGAACTAATGAATAGTTTACAGTCTTTCCCACATGTTCTTACCGAGTCAGTGGTGGTGCAGGCAATCCTTACTGAATAATTGTCTTTAGGGAGATAAATATGTCACTTATTGCCTCTACTAATCAAAAATCAGAATCAGAATTTAGTTTCAATATAAAGAAACACAGAACTGTTGAAATAAAGTCACATCTTTATCTTTATCATAATACAGCAACCAAAAGTATGTTTTTAATACAGATTTAATGCTCATCTTGTTTTGGACTATGGGGGCCACTATAGTCTTCTCTATAAAAAGAAAACTCTATAATGCAGGTAGAATATTTTACATTTTGATCATTGCAAAGCTCAATAGTGATCTAAAACTACATAGTAAAATGAATGGAACAATGCATTTTATGTTGAAAACTGCAAACCTGAATGGCCCCACCTATTCATAATGGCATTTGACTGAAGCAAGCAATGGGTTTTATGCTTGAGTAATAGTCAAGTGTCATTTTTTACCCTGTGTGTATGATCTGGAGTCTTAAAGGAGCACTATGTAACATTTCTGGCTGGTTGATTTTATGTAATACATTCCCTTTAAAGTGGAACTACATGCTAAATCAACCTTTTTTTTTTTTTTTTTTTTTTTGCTGCTAAAAATAGCACTGTTTACTGTCCCTAGTCCTTTCTGGTCATTTTAGTGCAAACTAGGTCATTTGCAGGACTGCCCTGATTACAGCCAGGTGATTGCAGGAGCAGAGACTGATACCTGTTAGACCAATCACAGTTTCTTTATAGCTCCAGATCCCTCTTCACCCCTCATTCTTTTCTTTAGTCCTTCATGTTCTGCCCAAGTTACCACCTCTATTTGTAATGTGATTTTTGAGCGGAGTTTAGGCGTTTAGTCTCACTTTAAAGGTCCTATATTACCTATACTACGTTAGCATGCTGTTACCTCATCAAAAACATACACAGCATTTTGTTTCATTTACACATGTTTCAGTAACTCTTTAGTTTGTCTGCATCTCCAAAGCTCAGAATGCTCTGTTCTACCCTGTGATGTCATGAAGCTGTAGGTTTCAATTTAACAGATACCTTTTGGCTTTAGCTCAGTAGAGATTAACATTTTCAGGGCTGAAATTATCCAAATTCTAGTGAAGCTGAACACTTTTTAAAAAATTATTATTATTAGTATTATTATAATACATATACAGTACACAATATAATACAATATAAACACATAATGCCGACACTCAAGTTCATACCATAGATGGAAAAAACAATAGAAACATAAGATTAAATGAAATAAAATCAAGTAAATCAAACCTAACAAAAGACACTAAATTATAGATACATAAGCAACTTAGTTTTGGGAATCATCAGTGATTGATATGGGAGAGGGGGAGGTAATCTAACTGTGAACTGTGTCTTTGGATATGTTGTTTATTAAAAAGGCCTTTTTGCAAGATAAGTGGTGAATGGATTGAAAGTAAATATTTATTTTGCTTAACTGAAATCAAGGCTTAGATTTTCAGAATTTTGCTCTGTGAATATGAGTTGATCACCCCCTGTATTACCACATGACATCACAAGGTGGAACCGTGTTTTCTGTTTGAGAGAAGAACTCAGTCTAAATATACAGGATTTGTGCATTAAACATGTGTGGGGAATAAAAAACAACAACAACTCGAGGTATGTTTTTGATGAGGAAACAGTATTATAACATAGATCAGAAAAATAGCGTAATATAAACCCTTTAAACTTGACTAGAGTTTTGTGTGTTTTACCTGGGATGTAGGTGAACTGCACTTCTTTGGCCACGGGGCGGACTTTCTGCAGGAGCTCCTGGTACCTGAAACAAACCACTTTCCCTTTGAGAGTAGCGGTCAGTAGCTCCTGTTCCCCGGCCTGACACAGCCCGTACATGTTACTCTGCGACGGGAAGCGGCTAAAGCTGTCCTCCACAAACGGGTACGGCTCTCGGGACATGCTACAGGAAAAAAATCACCAAAAATCACCAAAATCAGAGCAAGAAACGCATCTGGTTGCACATCCTTTCACTGTAGTTTAGTCCCAAACTCCATATCCAGTTCACGTGACGCTGGAAATGTCAGTCATGCTGTTGAAATGGTCTTCGTAAAGGTTTTGAAATAGTGGAGGAGTTTGATTTTAGTGTTCAATTTGCATTTAAGTAAAAAGTTTTCATTAATAAATCCATGCGACTGTGAGCATCAATGTTCCCCATTCACAGAAACACAACATCCGCTTTGAGCAGTGCTGCTTTCATTAAAATCGTAATTCTAGGCATTTTCAGTATGACTAGTACAAAAACAGCTACAAAAATATTAAGATAAAACAATTTAAATAGCTTAAATTCTTTGTACAATTGTGATAGACAACATACTGTACATATAGTCTATTCTATAATTGATGATTGAGTAGATTAATTAAAATAAAGTGGGCTCGACAAAATCGTGATGTCTTCAAATGCAGCACCAGATAATTTCTATTTCGTTGCCGTTTGTTGCTGCAGACACAACCCACTACAAGCACAAGTCTGCCACCTACTGGTAAACTATCATACATCAATAATCAAGCAGAGGTTAACGTTGAATTAATTTACAGGAGTTAGTCATTTGAAAACAGTCATGTGAAAAGAAAATGGTAGGCTAGTAATGAAATCAAAATCTTTTTTATTTTAATGGGGAATAAATTGGCTGCCAGGCTCATGTTGATTGGACACTCGTTGTAATGATGCCACGTGTCCTCCAGGTGTCAGTAAAAATGCGTGTAGTGGCCAAACGGTCAGAAAACTCATTTGTGGACAAACGGAAAGATCTAAATAAATGCACTGCTTAAATACACATTTTCTTGTGGTATTTTTTATGCTGTCAGAGTGGTCTTGTAATTTGGAACAGTATTGGGCAATATGTACTACATATTTTATTTAAATTATTCAATCATTTATGTTAACCGTTAATGACTTCATATTTTTATTAGACGTAGTCCTTTTGTAGGACAGAATAATCTTAATCTTGTTTCTTGCTGTTGTAAAGTGTTTTGTATATTGGGGCTTACTGTTTGACTTCATTTGACTTGACTTGACTAAATGCTTTTTCATTTAAAATTTACACAACAATTTATGTGGGATTGCTCACATCTTTAAGAACAGACTTCGGTGTAGGCCTATAGCCTCAATAGGTTTTGCTTTTTGTAAAACCATTCATATGGAGTTGCAACCCAATCTTAGATTCTTTTTAAAGGGCCTACATTACTCAAAATTGAGCTTTAAGACATATTATTATATTGTTTTCTCCTCAAAAAACATACCTGGAGTTGTGTTTTGTTTCATTCACACTTGTTTGACTCTTAGTATTAGTAGTCTGTCCACATCTCCAAAGTTTAAAATGCTCTGTTCCACCTTGTGATGTCATGAAGTGGTAGTTTTTAACATCTACCTTTTGCTTTTAGTTTAGTAGAGATTGGCAATTCCAAAGCTGAAATTATCCAAATGATTCTAGTGAAGGTGTAAGAAGTTTAAAATCACACAGTGGAGCACTTCCTGTATTAACACTTGACATCACAAGGTGGAACGGAGAGTTTTCCATTTGAAAGAAGAACTCAGCCAAAATATGCAGGGTTTGTGAATGTGTGAATGAAACAAGATATGTTTTTGATGAGGAAACAACATTATAACATGGATCAGAAAATAGTGTGAATCCCCCATTTCAAAACAGAAATAAGATAATATATTCACGTTGTGTCACGTTGGCTATACACTGAAATCCTGACCTCCTGGGTGGTACCGTGAGTTTGACCCCTGTGTGAGTGTGTACCGGTTTGCTCCATATTGCGCGGGGTCAGAGGTGCTCTGTGTACACCCCCTCTTCTCCTAATACCACCTGATAATCCATTTGCAGGATTAGTGTCCACTGTAATCAGGCATCCTTCACCGTGACACACCTTACCGCAAACTCACCCCAACTCCTGACTCACACACAAGCACTACAGCCAGGAGAAAATACTCTACCAGTTAAAAGTTTGGACTCATATAGTGTTTTTTTTTTTTGTTTGTTTGTTTGTTTTTTTTCCCCCTTTAATTCTACTACTTTTTAACATACTTTTTAAATACCTCAGATACATGAAGTAAGATTTAAGGAAATATGTATCAAAGAGAGAAAAATAACTATATAACGCTACTCATTTTTATTATTTTTTTTATATTAAAGCCACCCTTTGCTTTGTCAAAACTTGTTTAGTAAAGTTGTTTAACTTTTTTTCTTTGCGCCAGAATTCCATATATCTTGCTTTCATATATTGTATGTATGTCTGTATGTATACAAAATGTAGAAAGTAGTAAAAATAAAGAAAATAAAACATTGAATGAGATGGTATGTCCAGACTTTTGACTGATGTGGTTTAAGCATGAACTCAATTGCAACAGAAAACGCACACCCAAGTTCTTGTAGAGGTGCAAATGCTAGGAACAGCAAGATAAAAGTGAAAAAATGCATAGCACACTCAGATGGCTGATGTCCAAAATCTTTTTTATTTTTAGTTGACTTACTTTTATGTTTAAGCACACTACCAGTCAAAAATTTGGAGTAGCCATCCTTTACTTTGGTGAAAAATATTTAGCAGAATTATCAAACTTTTTTCTTTGCTACATAATTTCATATTTGTTACTTCATATAACTGATGTCCACTGTAGTTAGAAAAACACTGAATGAGATGGTGTGTCCAAACTTTTGTCTGGTATTGTACTAGTATGTAAAAAATATAAGTTTGCCAGCTGCTAAACTTAAAGGTAAATATCTGGACACTGCCCACTTCACCTGTCAGGTTACTCCGATGGTGTAAAAGGATGGGTCAAATCTCGCTGTAGGACAATAACGTGTACCTTCGAATGTTCTGTAAAACCTAGAGTTTAAAACAACAAGCCCAGAGATTCTATTGACCCTTTAAACTCTTATGTTATTAAAATGTTCAAAATTCTGAAATGAAGGAAAATGGAGCCAAAGTGAAGCTGATATAATATACAGTATTTTCAGACATTAACAGATTTGAACAGATCTAAGTGCTGATGGTTTTACAGTTTGTTTTTGTGTTAAAATGTGTTCAAGAGTCTATATTGTCAGAGTATTTATTGCATCTTGTCAAAGTGTGCACCATGACAGCACAAAAACAAAATCGTTCTCTGTGGAGTTTGCATGTTCTGACTGTGCCTGAGTACGCTATGGGTTCTTTTGTTTGCCTGACCATTTTTCGGTAGCCAGGCTGGTGCCACCTAGCGCCTCCGCTCAATTTCATTTCTCTCCAGCGACTCGGTCAGGAATCGGAATACACTATACGGTTTGCAAGAACCCCGGAAGTGCGAGTCCGGGCTCTATCCAATCAGTGAAGAGCCATACATTCTGTGTTGGCAACGATTAACGAGATTGAGGATTTAAAGCTGGAACTATGAAAATGTTTGGTGAATTTTATCAAGGGGAAAGACGTTATTGCACTTCTTCCTATGGGATTTGGGAAAAGCTTAATATACCAGTTAGCCCCGTTAGCGGCGCATTACATACGTCACGACCAAATAGCAACAATTGGTTATGTGTCGAAGGACATAATATATTTCTGCTGGGTGTTTGATTGACAGATATTGTAACAATCAGATGTTATCATGTTTTAAGCTTGGTTAACAGAGCTATGTGTTTTAGTTGTTTTCAGTGCGTCGTGCGGAGCTCGTGGGTGCAAAATTTCATGTGCGTATTAAAGAAGTTGGTAGTGGTTTAAAGAAAGGCACACATATACATGAACCTGTTTACAGAGTGTTTTGAAGTTCTTAGCAGTAGATGATTATAGAAAATGTGTGTTCAAGGGCCAATTATATGTTTCAAGGAAATGCTAAGTGCTAGATGCTAAGTGCTGGCAAACAGCCTACTATTATTATGAGACGTGTTTGTTTAGCTACTTTATATAGTATATAAATATATATATATATATATATATATATATATATATATATATATATATATATATATATATATATATATTTGTTTCAGGACACAAGTTCAACATTATTAATAAAAGTCATAAAACTTCATCATCTCTCATCGTGCATTCTTACCGATGCCCCCTGGTGGTCACAACACTTATAAGCCACAGAACTAGTTTTCCCCATAACAGGTTAAATAAAAAAAGTACCCGCCGACCGTCAAGCGAACAAATCCTAACGCTGTGAGGTCAGACGATTTCCACAAAGTGAAACCGGCTGATCAATCAGACAAATTTTTGGACCATGTTGATTTATATAAAAAAATATATATATATATATATATATATATATATATATACATATATATATATATATATATACAGTATATATATAATGATTTCCTGGTGATACACAGAGACAAATCTATTGATACTTTGCAACTGATGTCATCAACTTTCCCTGGGAGTGTGGTGCTAACTGTAGGCACTTTTCTGTCTGGGGCTTTGTTACACTTTAATCTGAGTTTTATTTTAGCACAATCTGACCAGAAAAAACTGACTTAGCTCTAAGTACAACAGGTGAGATGATTTGTGCTGATATACACGTCCATCTCCAAATAACATTACAGTCACAAGCTAGTTAGTATTAGCCAACAGTTTTTCATTTAGTCACTCTCACATTTTGGTTAAAAATCAAACTCTCCTAAACAATGAACACTCGTATTACTCGTATCACAGACTCCTGAAATTCTGTTGTTCAAATCCATTTTGTATTTTATTTCTTGAGTTTTCAGATCTTAAAACTTATTTGGCATTGATTGCTAATGTGTGCATTGTGTCACCATGGTAAATTGTGAACATTCTGCCATACACATACATGTAGAACACTCCCAGGATGATGTCACTGGAAATAATGAATTCATGATTGGGGGGTTCGGGGTTATTATTTTGGGTTGGGTTTCATTAGTCACTTTAGACTAAGTTTAGCTCTAATAAAGTCCAGGATTAGATCTGGTGATACTTGGAAAGCCAAATATTATTTTAGGCGCCTCTTGGTGTGAAAGGTTTGAGAACCACTGATATTATATTTTATGCCAAGATTAGCCTTAGTTGCCATGCTCCATATCTCTACCAGCTGAGATAACCTTTTAAAACACCTTAAAGTGCGAATGACCGGTTTGTGTGAGTCTTTCATTTTAACTTAATTTGGTGGGATCATAACTATTGTAAATATAAATTATAGTTTTACACAAGTTCGGTACAGTGTATACGCAAGAAATACATTTTGTTTGATACTTTAAACCTGATTTCAATTAAATAAAGGTGTTTTTTCTCATATTTGTAATAGATCATTTCTCTGAACATTAGCAGTCTTTTGCTTGGTAACACTTCATAGAAACCGTCTGACCTCACAGTGCTAGAATTCATTCGCTCGATGGTAGGCAGGTAAATTTTTTATTTAACCAGTCGCTGCTATTTGGTCGTGACGTATGTAATGCACCAAATCCCACAGGAAGAAGGGCGATAACGTCTTTCCCCTTGATAAAATTCACCAAACATTCTCTTTCTTCTGGCTTTAAATCCTCAATCTCGGGAATCGTTTCCGACTCAGAATGTATGACCTCGTCGACATCTATCTCGACCTCTTTGTTTATACTGTTGTGCTGTTCCACAAAAGGGACCCAGTCATGGCTTCACAAGCTCTTCGCTGATTGGCCAGTGCACGGGCTACAACTTCCGGGGTTGTTGCAAAACGTCTAGTGTATTCTGATTCCTGACCTAGTCGTTGAAGAGAAATTAACTTGAGCAGAGGCACAAGGTGGCACCAGCCTGGCTAATGATTTCAAACCAGGAAGTAACATTTTTAAATCAAGAAAAATGGCCAAACTGGGGAAACAAGTGTGAATGTTTTTGCAAAAATCTTAAATATAACGATCTTAACTGTGTTTTAGTAAAAATAGTAGTTGAACCTGTCATAGACACTTTAAATTAAATTGTATTTTTTGTTAGACCAGTGCTCAAGAATCTAAAATCCACAGTAATGTAATGTACAGTTGTATGTTTGGTTATCCAGATTATTCAATAAAGAAACTTCTATAGCAGACTTGAATGATGTGAAGGATGGGTCTGGTAGCAGAACTGGTCGGAGGGCAGTTGTAGAGGGCGGGTGGCACCTGGTCTCACATATGAGATTATTATTGTGTGTGTGGGCATGTATTTATCACACTATGGGGACTAAAATCTGCACACATGCTGCATTCTTTGTAATTAGATCAACAACATGATTTAAAGTTCAGACATAAGTTAAAATTTAATGTTTGGGTAGGACTTTTTTGATGGAGCGTCTGAAGAGATTTTAGGATTTATTTCCGGACAAAATAGAGAAACACCAAGATCATAGCGCGGGTTAATACAAACATTTTAAGAGCCAAATGACATGTCGCGATGCAGCAGTTACAGAGAGAAGGATGACGATTTTTCAGTGTAAAATCAAGTGGAGCTAGAGTCGATGGAGCCAGAAGTGCGTTCATGCTCACTTCCTATTTGCAACGTGGCATGTATACAGTCTATACATGTCGTAAACTATGATTTATGTTAGATCAGTGTTCAGAAAATGAATGTAAGTTAAGGCAATGTCCGGAAGAAACATGGAAAAGCAACATGTGCATATAAATGTGTATGTGCACGTGTGTGTTAATGCATTTGTGTGTGTGTATAAATATGTGCGTTAGTGCATGTTTGTGTGCGTACTGAGTGATTGGGCCTGACAGCAGCCTCTGTGTTGCTGGCTGGTCTGCAGATTTAGTCGACCTGTTTTAGACGCTCTAATCTGGATTAACAGCAACAGTGTGTCAGTGGGGACGAGCGCCGAAGCCACCCCCACACCCTCTGCCCCTTCACCTGTCTCTCTTACCATTATTCCAACAAAATTCTGCAATTATTCCTGGAAATCTATATACTTTAGTGCACCAGATACTTTATTTGAGGTTCACGATTTAGTTTGTTGATAAAAGAAGTCGCGAGAACCTGGAATAAAAAGCAGTTTTTCTGTCACCGCCTGTTCATGGGGGAAGGGCATCTGGACGGGGATTACGCCAGATCAGTCCTCTTGCCTACTTCCCTATATGCTGTTGCACTATTTGACGAAGATAACATCTACTTTGTGAACCTTTTACGGTTAAAGATGGAGCTAGCAGCAATACTTTTAATGTACTTTTACACTGCTCATAGTAACTGATCGTAAAAATAAAAATATAATACAATATAATATAGATTTGTAAAGTAATTCAAGATGAAAGAAACAAATTAAAGCAATTACAGCTAAATTACACAAATGATTTTCAAACGCAAATTAACCTGTGATCTGAAAATGCAAACAGAATAGTCCAAAAAATCCAGAAACATCTCCAAGTATTCCTCATTGTTTTGCAGTTTAAATCACGTGAATGTTCCATAGTGTCCATGAGCTGAGGCAGTCCCGTATCCATGACCCTCTCCTTTCTTATAATATTATTTGTATTTTTTTTCTTCTTTCTGCCCTTTGGTCCTGTTGTAAAAGTCTATACTGGCCTGGCTTCCCACAGTTGCCTTTCCTAGTGCACTACTGAACGGATCTGTGGGTCTTTCCTCCCTTTATCTGGAGATAAGATACTTACTTTTCAGATAAAGCATATTATGATAAATCAAATGAGCTTGTCTGGTTTTGTGCATCTGTGTTTGGGTGTGTGCTTGTGGGTTTACAGCATGTGTGAATAAAGCTGTTTGGGTTTGAACGGGTCACTGTCCTGTATGAGAATAATTAGACCTCAAACTTTGAAGAGGGGTATCAGAGGAGGCTTTGGTTTTATTTAAAGGTCCTGCATTACACAAAATTGACTCCTGTGAGCATCAAGACACATTATAATGCTGTACCTGTGTTTTGTTTCATTCACAGATATTTGAGTTATTTTGGTTTATTAGTCTGTCTATAGCTCCAGAGCTCAAAATGCTCTGTTCCACCTTGTGATGTCGTATAGTGACAGTTTTCAAGTTAACAGCTCCTTTTACCTTTTGTACAGTAGAGATGGGAAATTCCAATGCTGAAATAATCCAAATGATTCTAGTGAAGGTGTGTGAAGTTTAAAAACAGAGTGGAGCACTTCCTGTATTATAAAATGATTTCACCAGAGACGAACTCAACCTAACTATGCAGGATTTGTGTGTTAAACATGTATGAATGAAACAAAACAAAACAGGTATTTTTTTTGATGAGGAAACAGAATTATAACATTGATCAGACAATATCATAATATGTTCTGTTAAACTATAAGTGTTATAGTGTTCATACAGAGAGGTAGTCTAATGAAAAGTCATAGTTGTGACTCAGGGTACATTCACACTTCATGTAACTTGGTCCTATTGGTCCCATTTTCATTTTAGTCCTTATGAGGACTTAGTTTGGAAAAGCTGAAGTTCTTGTTTAGTCATGATTTAGGTTTAAATTGGTTTAGAGCAGAGATCGTTAACCTTTTGCAACTGGTGAGCTACTTTTATAAAATGAAAATGCCAGAGAGCTTCTCATTTTAGCAGAGTCAATATAAGAGGGCAAACCTTAGATGTACCGATAGATGCCTTTAAAACCTAAACCCATTATCCATTTATTAAAGCACAATGTCCAGAACAACATATTTACAATGGTAATTAATCAAATTTGAGTTATTTAGTACAATATAATTCAGAAATCCCTTGGCGAGCTACCTGTAAGAGGGTGGAGAGCTACAGGTTGGAGACCCCTGGTCAGTCATTTTGATGACTGCACCCCTACAGCAACATGAAGACCATTTCCTGAATAAAACACAAATCTGTCAAAGGGATAAACTGATCGACCTTATTGTCTCAACTTAACTACAACATTACTAACATTAACAACCAAAGTAAACACAAAGTACACTGTACATTAAGTACATTATATTTTTATACTCACCATACCAATACACAGACCTACAGACATAACTAAAATGTTTATTAAAATGTTACTGTCACCTTATCAAATATTTTTCTTCAGAACTCCTTTTCTTCAAAAGTGTTATAAACTTGTAGTGACTGTAGCCTGTTGCGCACCTCCCAGGAGGCTGTGCGCCGGTGTGTGTAAAGTGGGAGGGGTTTGTGGAGTCACTTGCCTCTAATTAGCCGCGTGCGCCGGTAAAGGAACTCAGAGGTGACTTGAGACAGGCGCGCGGACATCCCACTGGACTTCACCTGTGGGATGAGTTAACAGAGAGACATTCACAGTGAGTAAGGGAGCATTCAGCAGCGTGGCGTGCGTGAGGAGGCATAGTTGATCCTCAGTAAAAGCTTTAATTGCACTTTTAGAACAAACTCCAGAGGTTTGCGCAGAGACACGACAGAGGCGCACAGACAGTTTGGGGGCTCACGACTGGAGCGTGGCGCGTCCGACAAAACAAGTCAGCGACAGGACTTAGCAGACAGCCGCTGTGAGGATGATGTCCTATATAAAGCAACCCCATTACACCATGAACGGGTTAAATTTGCCTGCGCCCGGGATGGATGTGCTGCACACGACCGTCGCGTATCCCTGTAAGTACAAATAGAAAAATATACTTATTAAATTGTTATTAGTAAAACTTTGCTGTATGTATTTTTGATAGTAGAAATGTTTGACCTAATCTAAGGCTAAGCAAAACTACGCACAAAGATACTACGAGGTACTTCTGTGTAGATCTGTGAAACAAGGAGCGTTTTCTGTGCTGTTCTAAAGTTATCGTCTGCCCAAACAAATTCTAGTCTAGTCTTACTGAACAATATGTTATAATCACAGCGATACATGTCTTTTCTGTGTAGCCTGTTCGTTTATTAAAAAAAGATCGCTCAGTCATTGTCCTAAGTAAATGCTCCCCTATATTCATGTACAAATTAAACTTTACGCGCGTGGATATTTCCTCTGAAAACCCGAATTCTTCTCACTTTTTCCCCCTTTCCCGTATCATCAGCTCTAGTGTATTGCGTAATAGTGCCATCTTGCTTTTATTTATTTGATGACTTTATTTTTGAGTAGATATAGGCCTAACTTTATATGTTTACGACGATACAATGAGCGACAACATTTGATTTTGTTATGCTGATAACAAAAACGCTGGATTGATTATTGTTGTTGATGGTGTGATGTTTGTTACATACATTCATACATTCAGCCTTTATTTATATTGGCTAAGTAGGCTATATAAAATAAATAGCATCGAATTTTAATCATGGTTACTGGAAGTACTAATCTGGACCTTGGATACAACTAGACCCCCAAAATACCCTGAAATAGACCAATGAAACTAACGCGTTTGTCTCGGATGTGCAGCCACTCCGCGGAAGCAGCGGAGGGAGCGCACCACTTTCACCAGGACTCAGCTGGACATCCTGGAGGCCCTCTTCTCCAAAACACGGTACCCTGACATCTTCATGAGGGAAGAGGTGGCCCTGAAGATCAACCTGCCAGAGTCACGTGTGCAGGTACAACACAGTGGAACTGTGGAACCACTTACATCAGAATCAGAGAGAAGAACATAGGCCTTTCCTCTCCTACTGCCTCACTGCCTACTGCCTCCTAAAGCTTCATGTACTCATAATGCAGACCAGTTAATTAAAGCCACCATGAGGGCTAGAGCCAAACATGAGCACCCACAAATTTGGATAACCTCTGACTACCTTTACACCTTGTTACATACTGTATATATATGTGTGTGTGTGAGTGTATATCTATACTCTTGGGACCTGATATATCTTGTGTTTTCTGATGCCAGGTGGTTTAAAAACCGTCGTGCCAAGTGCCGTCAGCAGCAGCAGCAGAGCACGGGACAGTCCAAGCCGCGCCCCCCTAAAAAGAAGTCATCTCCACCTCAGGAGCCCAGTGTCCCGGAGCCCCTCCAGAACCCGGCAGGTTCCTACAGTCCCACCTCTGCTCAGTCGGGGCCCACCCTGGCCCCCAGCTCCAGCACTGGCAACACCTCAGTGTCCATCTGGAGCCCGGCCATCTCGCCCCTCCCAGACCCCCTGGCCTCGGGAGCTCCGTGCATGCAGAGGCCCTCTCCTTACCCCATGAGCTACGGACAGCCCTCGGCCTATGGCCAGGGCTACGCCAGCACCACCTCCTACTTCACAGGCCTGGACTGCAGCGCCTACCTGTCGCCCATGCACTCACAGCTGTCAGGCACCGGGGGAGCCCTCAGTCCCATCACGGTGCCCTCTATGGGGGGGTCCCTGAGCCAGTCTCCAGCCTCTCTCTCCTCACAGGGTTACAGCACTGCCTCTTCTCTGGGCTTCACCTCCGTCGACTGTCTGGACTACAAAGACCAGCAGGCCTGGAAACTGGGCTTCACCACCATGGACTGTCTGGACCACAAAGATCAGAACTCCTGGAAGTTCCAAGTCCTGTAGAGCCAAAACTAAGTGTCAACATTTTTCTGAAACAGCCCTTTGCCAGCAGTGTGATCTTGCATTATTATTTTCATGTAGTATTAATTTATTGAAATTTTTTTTTTTTTAGTTTTTTTGTATCTGTTCCTCTGTAGAGATGAATTTAGTTAAAATGGTTTGAAGATGAAGGGACCAATGACTGCCTACATCCTGACCCTCTATTATAGACACAAACGCCTTTAAAAGTTTGTACAGACTGAAACGCACCAAACCCTCTCTTCTTTGACTGTGACAGAACAACAGTGTACTTATGTACTTCAACATAATGTTTAAACTCTTTGTCTCAATGGAGCGCTGCGGTAACAGGAAGGAGCCCTGACATTCCATCAGCCTCCTCTTTCCTTTTACTCTAGATATTTATTATGATTTGTGCTCATTTAAGTTTGTCATTTTGACTTGTGTTTCTTTGACAGTCAGTAGTTTTACATCTCTCATCCTTCTTTAAATGTGTAGTTGAGTGTCATATTTATATTGTTTCTAACTTATTGATAGTTTATTGATAGTTCTGATCAGGTTGTGTGTAGTAGTGTGAACATGGATAAGTCTACTATAAGTCTATGGGTGGTACTGTCAGTATTGAGCTGGTACAGAGAGGATGTGAGGTGGCCCGGTGGTCAGTCTGGACCCTCATGTCACACAAACTCAAGGCTCTCACTGCTCCATCTTGGTTATTTTAGCTCATCTGTTTCTGGGAGTGCTCCAATCCTCTTAACCTCCCTTCAGCAATGCACTAAGTGAATTAGTTAGGATTATTGCCCTCTCCCCTATGTCTCTATAACTAGAACCCATCTCTTCTGTCGTCCTTATATCTTTACAGTTTTCTTCATAGCATTTTCTATTTTTATTCTCTTTTCCTACCTCCTCCTTTTTCTGCTTCTGATATCATTTTGGTTGCCTTTCGCTTTATTTGGCGAGTACTGGATGTATCTTGTATTCACCAGGCTTCTCTGCTAATTTCTTTTAACCTTAATAGTACTTTAGCAATACCAATTGTTTCATATCTCCTTCTGTATCACCACTATATCTATTTATCTGACTCCTAATCCTAATATGACCTGATTACTGTCACGCAAACTTGACAATGACAATAAAATGTGAAAAAATATGTGTTTAAATGTTATGAAACCAGGAAGAATAATAGAGCAATAATGGACAATTTTGGATTATATAAGAGATTTGTTAAATGACCTATGTTTTCCATGTTAGAAAGTGATAGGTTTTAATTGTACTATTCATTTTTGTGTTATCTAATTTAAATAAATGATCAGCACTGAGGCATCTGTTTTGTATTAGTATATAATAATAAATACAAATGCGATTTTCTTGCTGTTTTAATGTTAAGATGTAGTCCACATAGAGGAACGGCTGGCAGAGACATTTCAAAGCATTTTTCCACACTCATCACAGGCCTAATCCCAGTGTGTTTAATCCCCCAGATGCCCTCCCTCTCTGTCGTATGATTGGTTAATCCCTGTGTCCGTGAGCACTGATTGGTTAACCTGGCGGAGAGAACACTGCGGTGTAATCTTACCCAGAGCAGCATAGAGTTTGAGACAGACATTTGGGCGGTAATCCCAGGCAGCAGCAGATGTGATGGGGGATGGACAGGACCTGCAGACCTTGAGGAAGGTGAACCACTAAACAAGAACCTGTGTGGACAATAGGGCTGTTAAAAGTAATGAAAAACAAATAAAAGATATTAAAACTAGTATCGAAACTAGATACTAATTTGTGTTGGTATCGGTTTAATTCACTAAAACTTCCCTTAATAGCTTGAGAATGATTTTATGCTGTATCAGAACAAGCATAAGAACACATAAACTAGTATAGGCCCATAAACCAGTGTGGAGTCTACTGGGACGACTGAGGGATTGCACAGATATAAAACCACATGGTAAATACAAGAAAGCATTATTATTTAAAGTTTAAAATCACATTCTATTGTCTAAAGAAAGAGTGTTTATTATTATCATCATGATATCGGAAATAGTATTGAGTATTGAGTCTATTCTTAAGTACTGAAATCAAGTTTGAAATTTTTGTGTCATGACAGCTACACTGTGTGAAGAAAAGGGTCAGACAGGAGAAAAGGCCCATCTATAAAGCTACATGAGCTTTTCTCCTAAATTATTTTATAATTATATTATAATAATGTTACAAAGTACATTTTCAAAGTATCATATAATATTATTATGAACAATATAGCTCTAATACCTCTGGCATTGTCATTTAAAGCACAATACAATTTAAGAAAAATACAGTTAATGACACTTAAAAAAAAACAAAAAACAATAGGCCTCTAGATCTAGCTGTCTGACTCTGGCCAGTCTGGTTACAATATTTCTAGATGGTTAAGTTTGACAGTCATATAGGACCTACAGTAGGTCAACTTGATATGAGGTATGGAGTAAGTTTTGGATTGACAAATAACAGCAAAGGTGATGTTCTAACAGTAGGGCTTGCATCTAGAGCAGTATTAGACAAGCTCCACTAGGGGGAGATTGGAAACGATATCCGTACTTGACCCAATCTATAAGCAATATAAAAAGAGTTCTAATATCTGCAAATAATCTTTGTTGTTTTTGTTGTTATTGTGCGTCAGCCTCCATCTCATGACTCCTCACTAAGAGTGGGGTCGCTCAGGTTCAAGATGAGAGCATTAAAAAAATAGATCACAAGTTTATTTTAACATCTATTTGTTTATTACCACCATCATATGAGAAATTTGGAAAATACAAAGATCAGCTTTTAAACGTCTGACATTTCTGAGGAAGTAAAAATATAGAAGAAATTAAATGAGGTTATTTTGTGTATCACAAATTGGACTGGTTATTTCTCCTCAGATGTACAGATGTAGGAGGGACATACAAACCCACATGCAGTATGTGCTGTCATTATGAACGTCATAACTACTCAGATGAACAATGAGAAGCAGGCAAAAGTATAGCTCATGGACAGAGAGGGTTTTATCTGAAAAAATGTTACACAGCGCCCCTGTGTGGCTGCAAATGGAAAATTGCGAAGCTTCCTCAAACTGGAAAGCTAGTCACTCTGGGGGAAAAAAAAAAAAATCAAACTAAAAGCAATTTTGACATCCTCAATAATTTTGCACTTATTCATTACTGTTTAAGAAGAAAACAAAAGTTTGTCATTAATCATGTGTAAAAAATAATAACATAAACACCATATCCACATCAATAATCAAGTCTTGAGCAACCAAGAGATTCGTGTGTGATGAGTACAAGAAGTTAGACAAATCAAAGCTCACATGTTCACGAGTGGAAACAGTGAACCAGCTCCTCCTGCTCCCCCAGAGGTCAGAGGTCACAGGGGGGACTGGAGGTGAGGACAGGGGAGTCGGGGTGAGGGGGAGAGGGGAGGAAGGTTCAGCTGGTCTGAGGCCTTGGGACTAGTTTTATTAGCACCCTGCTGTGGAAGTTGTAGCTCCCCTTAAGCAGACTAGTCTCTTAGCCACGTCCCAGACTGGGCTGTTTCTCACACAAATATCTCTTCATGGTCTTTTACCTACAACAGCCTGCCTCCTTTAGACCATTAAGAGACACATGTGACCATGTTTACATGTAAGTCTGATCTGAAAAACTCTTAACATGCACAAAGAAGGTATCCTAAAACATTTGGTAAAGACAACAAAACTAGCAGAGACTAGACTTTCACAAGAATCTATCTCTTTAACGTGATTACTCTAATGTTTACAGAGAAGCCAGGCGATTTGGGGTGAGGGGTGAGGGAGGGGCAGAATACAGGAGCGAGGGGGGCAGGAGAGGTAAAGAAAACAGAGGAGGGGCATCTAAGCGCGCTCTCCACGGATACGACGGGCCAGCTGGATGTCTTTGGGCATGATGGTGACACGCTTGGCATGGATGGCACACAGGTTAGTGTCCTCAAAGAGACCCACCAGGTACGCCTCACTGGCCTCCTGCAGAAAGAGGACAGAGGACAGAGCAAAAGGTTAAAAAAAGGATGATTCAACGTAACCCAATAACTCAAAATAACAGTGAAGCATGATTTGAGGAGAGGGATGGGATAAGGCACAATTTCACAAGACAGGACACAAGATTGGATCCATGGAAAGACAAGATTTTTAACTTTTTTAAACATTTTTACATAATTTCAATTTATATCTTTAATCTGTAAATGTTTCACTGTCTTATGTCACAATTCATTGTTTCATGTTAAGACTGATGAGTGAGTGTGAGAAGGTGTTCTTAATTGACTTCCTTGGTAAAACATTGAATAAAAAAATTACAAAAAAATTTATTCTGTGTTCCAGTTCATAATTTTGGTCTCATATTTCTTAAAATTCAATATTTTTATTGTCAGTGTACCACTTCCTTTTCCAAATTACAGGTTCTCAAGAGGTGTAACTCACAATCATTCAACTTTTTATAATAATAATAATAATAATAATAATGATAATAATACTTCGACATCAAACTTTTATAGAGCTTTTTGGACACTCAAAGATGCTTTACAAACAAGAAATAAACGAAATACAAGTTAAATGTTCAGATGTGATGTTCTATGATGAGTCTGAGTTCCTGAGTGGTTGTGTGTTGTTTTGTCCAATCCAAATATAACACAAGGAAAAGAAAATCTCAAGTATTTTGTGTGCACAATGTAGTGTAATTTTAATCCCGTGAGATTTTATGGCACCAGATCTTGCCCCACCTCGTTCCATGGTCACACACACACAGACCTGCAGGGCTCCAATGGCGGCGCTCTGGAAACGCAGGTCGGTCTTGAAGTCCTGAGCGATCTCCCTGACGAGGCGCTGGAACGGCAGCTTACGGATCAGCAACTCCGTCGACTTCTGGTACCGACGAATCTCTCTCAGAGCAACAGTACCAGGCCTGGAGCAGAGAAATCACATTTAAGACAACCACGATAAGAGGTGTGGTACATATGGTAATTAAGGCAGTGATACTTTTAGTTGGTAAGTCGAATGATTGGTTTATTATTATTGGTTACAATTTTACTAATCACTTTATTAAGATTAGGAGGAGAAAGCATGGCGGGAGTTGGAGTTTTACGAGTGACAAGATAGGGAAAGGTTCTCCCAAAACCCCTCAAATCAGGAAGCAATAATGTGATTGAAATATATGACTGAAAAAGTTTTTGCACAAGATTTTAAGAATTTTTACAGCTTTTGCCAGTACCGCATTTCTAGTTAAATGTCTTTAATCAGCCAATGACTTCTTTAGTTGACTACAGCCCTAATAGTAATAGAGTTTTGTAAAAGATGACTTGATCTGTATAGTTTACCTGTAACGATGAGGCTTCTTCACACCACCAGTGGAGGGTGCACTCTTCCTTGCAGCCTTTGTGGCGAGCTGCTTACGGGGAGCCTTTCCTCCAGTGGACTTACGGGCGGTCTGCTTGGTACGAGCCATGGCGACAAAGGATCACTACACAAGAAAGAAAAGGAACATTACATTATATGAGAATGCACCAATGTTTAATGGGCATTAAAGAATTGTGCAATGTTTGAAATCAATAACTCAGAATACACAGATTACAAAAAGTGTATGAGGGTCTATATATCTGCTGTATTGCTGGTGGAGATGTTATTACTTTACCTAGAATGTTTGACACATTATGTATAACACAATTTTTCAATTGCAGGTGTTTGTACTGCTCGAAAATATAGTGAAAAACATTGTTACTGTAAGAGGCTTCACATTTCCACAAATCTGTCCTGCAACTTTGCCAGATGCGATGCATGCTTTCCTTCAAGGAGATACATTTAAAGTCATACTTTGGAACATTCCAGGCAAAACAATATCACCATATAGCCGGTAAATACCAGATAAGCCACACAGTACACCTTACGTAACTTTCTGGAGGTGGCGCATCATCTGCGTGATTCCTTGGAAATAGATAAAGTTTTCTGCCATATTGTGGAATATTATAGCCAAAATGAAAAAACGTTTAGTCTGTTTATTTGGTTAAAAAAAAGTTTCATACTGTGGCTAAGAGGCATTTATACTTCACAAATTGCATAAGAAAAATATGAATCTAAAAAATATCTCCACCACTATAATCTGAAGGGACGCTGTATTATTGTTTACACTTTTTTTTTGTGAGTCGCCGCTAAAAACTTTTGCTTTGGTCTCACAGCCGCTGCACTTGGTCAGACCAATGCGCCGTGACTCCATAAAAACACCAATCAGATTAGAGAGCTGGAAACGAACCTGAGATTTCAACCAATGAGAGCGCGTCTTGTACGATTTCAGGGCGGGATTTAGAGCACAGGCCCCGCCTCTTACCGCAAGGATTATGGCCGCAGACCCAAACCAATGTACCGATATACAGACACAAACCAGGACGGAAACTTTGACATTTTTCTCAAAAATTACACCACGTTAACACATGAAATAATAACAAAGGATAATAGACAAGTGTCACTATCAGTTAAGCTTCAGGGATCTTTAAAATACGATCAAATTAAAGCGAACCAGCGTGGTAAAGATAGCCATTGAATGTGGAGCACATATTTCGGTAGTGGAGAGCCGCGTTTCTCTCCGCTTGTGCATCGGAGCTTTTCTTCTCTCTCCAGCGTCGAGAAAAGACGCTATTTCAACACTAAAAGCACACCACTTTTGACAATTTCTATATTTAACAGTGCCTAGAGTGACTGAGCTAAAATATTATGATAAAAAATGTGACTTACCGAGGGTGATTTGGGTCTTTTTCTCGAAGCGAAACTAGTGTGTTGTGGTTGTGTGTCAGTGTCAGATATTTACTATCTCCACACAATGGAGCAGAGCTGGAGCAAAATGGCGGCGGTGTCAATCATCTGTCTCCAACAAGCATCCGCCAACTTTTGTAAACACTGAAGTGTACTTTGCATTATCGCAACATTTTGACACTATTAAACGCCTAGACAATAAATAAAGCCATAAAAATCTCTATTGTTGAAAAAATACTGCTTCCAGTGGAAATAAAACAAAACTTAACAAACCTTAGAATGTGGGAAAAATATCAAGAATTTACAAGTATTAATTTCCAATGTGTTGTACTTTATTATCATTTTTAAATAGCCATTTGTATATTATATACGATTTCTGCTCGTCACCTGCACATGTATAAAAAAATACGTAAATCTTACCCATGCAACGACGTGGCAGAAAAATATATGAAATGAATCATTGATATTGTATTTTCATTTTTTAAAATGCTTTATTTATCAGCAAAAAGACAATTTACCACACAGTAAATAGTCCATTATTTTACTTTTAAAATGCACTTACTGTTTTACCTAACGCTGGAAAAAAAAAGTAGCCTATGGTATATTATTACTATACATTTGTATGCTGTATTTTATTTATTATGTTCAAAACAAAAGTAAAAACACGCCATAATGTGTAAAAAAAACCGTTGTTCCAGTGTTACCTCACTTCTGATCTGCAATGAGCAATTCCCCTTGCTAAGTGCCTTCTTACCCCCAGGGGTCCCCAAACCTTTGGCTGACTTTGTGTTGTGAGTTACTCATTTATTACAGCGCGTTAAAGGAACAGTAACTTCCAGCTACACAAAATGTGTGATGTGAATAACTTGTTAAAACAGCATCGGAGAGTAAAAACAGTCCTAAAATGAAATTTATTTCTGAAGAGATTGCTTTATTTTCAACGTGACCTTAGATACTATGAGTTTTCACATTCAAGTACATGATTGAACCTTATGTCCTTGCCCCATTTGAGGCAGTAAATAAGGCAAGAGGAGCAACACCCGAGAGAGGTTAGGGACAGCCATTTAACCTGGATAATTACATAGTCTATTGTTTCTGATCAGCCAAAAGTTATGTTTGTTTAAGTACTAAGCACAAGTTAGAGCTATGTCTGTACCCAACAATGTCTTAGTATTAGCATAGTACTGTATAATGAGTTGTAATACCATGTGACACCCCAAACTGAGGAAGCAACAAAAGTATTTTAATGTTTGTGCATTGGAACAAATAGTTAACAGCAGTCAACATATACTTCTGAAAATATTTAAGGCTCACTGAGTTGTTTTTGATGGACAAAGCAGCATCTTTACCCTGCACTTTTAGGGTACACATTTTCAGCTTTATTCTTGTATTAGTCCATGCTACCAGAGTACCACCATCTAATGAGAAATGAAAAACAAAAACAAAAAACAAAAAAAGATCTTGCCACATGTAATAGTCTATCTCTCCCTCCTGTAGCGCTGTGCAAGTGGAGCTGAGACTGTGCCAAACTATTGGTCCCTCTTCCGCAGAAGAACAGACAAGCACCAAAACATCCCCCAGGAAAAACAACTCATTTTATAGCACACATACAAGTACAGAAATGGCACAGTCACAGAAGAAAAAAAAAACAAAAAACAACTGAAATCAAATAACTGCAGCTTGTTTCAATACTAAACCTGGATACTTGGAGAGAAACAAGTACAATATTTACTGTTTAACTGTATAACTGTTTAACCGTTTTATCAGGTAAAAGATCATTTATGTAGGTTTGCTCCTTCAATAAGTTGTGCTCTAACATCCAGCAAGAACGCAATAGATAGTGAAGTCCACAGAACTTTTCTGTAAGAGTGCATGCATTTCTAAAATGCAATCTGTAATCCCACTGATCCTCGCTCCAAACCTTTAAACAAACTGAAATACAATCCACCCCTTTACTAGTGTTTCTATCCATATACAGATCTCTATATAGTTTATTTATATTTTACATTTCTGTAGTGCCTAATCACTGTACCGTACATTTTTCATATACAATTAGGACATGTCGCAATAAATCACAATAAATTCAGGTACATCCAGGACTCTGTAAAAAGTCTTACAATGTTCTGTACAATTTATTAAAAATACAGAGGAGCAAAAAGTTTGGTGATTCAACAGTCCACTGTCCTGCAGAGGCTGCTCACCTATGGCTCCGTTCAGTCTTTTTACACAGATAAAGACCACACATGTCCTTAAAGCGCTTCACTCTGTTCTGATCTCAGTCTCTGGCCTCTGCAGGCCCAGCTCAGTCTGAATGAACGCGCCCTGCCCCAGTGCGGTGGAGTAGGCTCTGTTGAGGCTCACTGTAAAGCCTGGACCGGGATAGGAACCCGGGGCCCCACGTTTCTGAGCAGGGGCCTGAGGTGCGGGGTGATAGTCGTCCAGGTTATCATAGTGGGACTGTGAAGTCTTCACACTGTGTTTCTGATAAGCATATTCCCGTTCCAAGTCAGGCTTGCTCTGGCTGTAGTGCTCTCGGACACTGTGGGAGCGCTCCGGTTTGCGGGGGGCTTCTCGGGGTTGGTCTTCTGAGCTGTGGTAGCCACTGGCTGTTTTAGCTTTGCTCTGGGGGAGGTCTGGATCAGGGCAGTCGTAGCGTGACTGGAGGCTCCTCTTGTTGGGATACTCCTGCTGCCAATGTTTGGACCTCTCTTGGAGCTTGTCCTCTGGATGACGAGAGTCCTGATGTGAAACACTGTGACTCAGCGCTCCAGGGTGGGATTGCGAGGATGGGACTTTCTTGGTCCCACTTGGTTTAGTGAGACCATCAGACTTGTCCCCTACACTGTTTCCCTGTTTGTCGGTCTCCATATACATGAGAGCCTCAGGGTCGGACATAATGTGTCTTGGGAGGTAGCGTCCATCTTTGCTCTCGGCTGTAACCAGCACAGCCTTCCCTGGGTCTGACTTACTGCGCAGGTGCAGGGTCTCGTAGCCTGATAGGTCTGAGGGGGTGAAGAGGCCCACGTTGTCGTACTGGGAGAGCACAGGGCCTTTGATCTTCTGTCGCGCTCTGCTCTCTCTCCTTATTGAGTGCATGCGGTACCGCTCAGACTCCTCTGCGTCCCATGTGTGGTAGGCGGACTCCTTGGGCCCGTGGTTTGGCGGAATGTCCCTGCTGACGAAGCTGTGCTCTTTGGCAGGAGGCCCAGCGTGATGCGAGAGGTAGTGGTATCCTGTGGTCTTTGCTCTGGGTCGCCCTGGCCCTGGCTCTCTGAAGGAGTGGAAGTGACGCACACGAATAGTGCCATAAGGGTCTATGTCATAGAACGGGGTGTCCACAGGCCCTGAGCCTGAGTACGGGCTGTAGCGGTACTGGACACGGCCATTCTCAAAGTATGGTTGCAGCTGTGTGACATGGTAGTCTGCCTGTGAGGAGGACTGCTGCTGCTGCTGCTGCTGCTGATAGGCTTTACAGGGATACACAGGGCGCTGGCAGAAGTACAGCTCATCGTCTGGAGGGACCTCTGTCCTCTGGATGGGCACAGAGCGAATGGTGGAGGGCACGTGCATGGAGTGCACTCTGCGGATGGTGGCGTAGCTGTGGGTACGGTCGTGGCCGTAACCCTGATGCCCTGTCGTCATGTACACAGTCCTGGGGTTCCCTCTGGACTTGATGGAGTGGTGGTAAGAGCGTGGGCCTAAAGTGCTGTACCGGTCTAGTCGGGCGCTGTAGGGGATCTGAGGCTCAGACTTAGACACATAGGAGGGGTGAGGGGTCATGTTCTCTGCTCTGTAGTGGTGAGGCATTGGCTGAGGGCCCATTGGAGCAGGCCTCTGGTGGTAGTAGGCAGACCCGGGGGGCTCCATTAGTGGTTCTGCTTTGGTGTGGTACATGTAGGGGGGCTGGTGAGGGCCCGATTTACGTGGGGAAAGAGGATGGTGGGGCGCTGGCTCCTCTGGATGCCCCTCGGCAAGAACATGAAATGGGGCTTCGCTTTGGCTAAGTGCAGCTGTTGCTAGTTTGCTCTCCATGGTACGGACCGGAGGAGCTGGAGGTTTAGAGGCATGAGACTCAGTGCTGGGTTGGACTGGTTTAATGGCCTCCCAGGGCTTTTCCACAGGCTCCGCTGCAGTGGGGGCTATGCGAGCACTGGCCTTGGAGGTAAGCTGAGGTTGGGGCACATTTTGGGGCACATTTTGGGGCAAATGTTGGGGTACAGCTTGAGGGACTGGTTGGGGAAGCAGAGTCTCTGGGAGTGTTTGAGGAGCTGGGGTCTTCTCAGATTGTGCAGGAGGGGTGGGTTTGGTCTGAGGCTGGGGGGAGTTCTGGTTTTGACTCTGCATTGCCGTGGAAGTGAGTGGTGGTGGTAGAGACACAGGTGCCTTTTTGGGCAGTGAAGCAGGAGGAGGGCGAACATCTGTTGGTTTTGGAAGTGTTGGCGGTGGAACAGGCTCTGGTTTAACCTGAAAAGAAAACATTGAGTTATAGTATAATATATATTACATAGAAGTACCCAACATTTTTCCTGTTAAATGAATACATTCTGTTTTCCTGAAAAAAATCTTAAGTCTATCTAATGAGAAAACATTTTCTCTACTGCAAATTTGTAAGAAAGAGCTATGAGAAAGAGATATGACGTTTTGGGATGGAAAGTGGGGACTGCTGTGAGTCTACCCTGCTTTACTTTTCTGTCTGAGCAAGCTGAGAACAAATTAGATTTAAAATCTACTTCCTTCTTTCACTGTACTGTAAATAATTGTCTTTATAAGTTGCAAAAGTGCAGTAGTTACCTTGATGACCTCAGGAGTGGGCTGTGACGGCAAAGCCTTAAAGCTGCCACTAGGGGTCGTAGCTGGAGTGGTACTGGACGATGTGCAAAGTTGAGATGCCTGCAGCCTCTCTGGACTTTTGATGTTGGTGGAGGTTTCAAGCAACAGAGGGGAACATTTGTACACAGGTGTATCTGGGGGGCTTGTGTCCATTTGGGGTGGGATGGTGGAGGTCTCTGTGACGGTGCTGTTGACTGTGGGCTTTTCTGAGACAGGGGTGGAGGGACGGGGTTGAGATGATGGGACTGTGTTCGCCATAGCAGCACTGTTTGTTAGTGGAGAGGTTTCCTGTTCAGGTTTTCTCTCTGAGGCAGGTTGTGGTGGTTGGACCAAAGTGGGGCAGTCCTGAGGCGATGGGGTAAGTGGCGTCACTGGTGTCACTGGTGTTAGGGGCTCTGAGTGGGACTGGACTGACACTGGTTGTAAAGATTCAGATAGCGCCAGGGTCAACATCCGGGTTGTGTTTTTGGGAGGAGGAGGAGGGGCGGAGGCAGGGGCGGAGGCAGGGGCAGAGGCAGGGGCAGAGGCAGGGGCGGAGGCAGGGGCAGTGCTGAGGGAATGAGAGGGGAGCTCCTTTGAAGAGTCCAAAGACACAGCCCCTGGAAACAACACACAAATGAGGGATTCAGTTTATATGATTAAACACAGTCACGCTGGAAAGTGCTTTTTTAATTTTTAGGATTTAATTTACTGAAATACAGAATAATATGGAATCCAATAATCCAACAGTGGCTTTGTTTATATGTACACCAGAATCTATTTATTATCTGATTTATGTACCTTCCAAGATGATTTAAATGAAATGCAAAATTTGATGTGAGTAGTCAGAGGGACCATGGTCAGAATGACATATCTTTCGTATAATATTTAAGTGTGCATGTAACCACAGACACTGTTCTTTTTAGCGTTAGACAACGTTAAAGGCACTATACGGTACCTTCTTTGGTGCAGACAGGTGCAGACAGTGAGCCACTCTCTCCCTTCATATCTCCTCTGTCTTCACTGTCAAAGGCTGCCAGTTTGGACTGCAGTTCCATTTGAAAAGCTTCACTCAGCGAAGGCTCCACTGGCCTCAGCAGCACAGAGCCCATCAGAGGAGAGGAGTCTGTGGGCAGTGATGGAGGGGATAATGGTTGAGAAGAGACACACTGTCCAGATGCAGTTTTGTCAGCAGCTGCAGGAGAGAGAAGCTCTGAAGTGGCAAAGCCTGTCACACTCGTACTCTTCGCACTTTTGATCGGAGACACTGCCTGTGTTGGTTTGTCCATATATGAATAGGAGATCGTCATCTTCTTGTTTTCGCGCTTTTCCCCGGCAGTGGGCCTGTAGTCAACAACAGGAGTGCTCATATTCCCCAGAAATGAGGCAGAGAGCACTTCGGACACGTTAGTTTTGCTCCTCTTTAGTGTAGAGGCCTCTGCTCCCGTGGGTGACTCCTCTAAAGGAAAGGCGTAGGATGTGTCAGGCGCGCTGCACTGGAACGACATGGGGTCAAAGTCCAGGGAGGCCATTCCGATGTCCGGAGGGCTCAGGTCCACGTCCTCTCCAGCCGAGCGCGGGGGAGAGATGAGAGCAGGGACACAGATGGGCCCCTCGTCTCCGTCGCTGTCCTCTGTCCCATCCAGATTATCATAGGAGTTACAGTGCTGCCGAGTGTCCAGCAGGTCCCCGTTAAAGGAGGCGGAGAGTGCGTCACTGCTGGACCGAGGGCGCCTGGGACGGTACACTTTGGACTCTCCTTTAAGAACAAATGTATTATAAGAAATAGGATTTTTATACAAGATTACACAACACAGAGAAAGCAGTGTTTCCGACAGGTTTATACTGAGACTACAAGCGAACCATATTTGAATCATACAGTTAACAATTTATCTTTTATACAATTTACAATCAATATATTCTTTTATAAACTGTTCAGCCTTGACTATGGCAAAAGCTTTGACTATGCAGGCAAAAATGGGGACCACCATAGTCTCTCCTCTATTGATGGGAAAAGAAAATAATTACCTTCAACATTGTGCAAAGAACTCAAACTCTCTTCACTTTTGGCTGATCTTAAAGTGGCTGTATCTCCTCTACCTCCTGTAATAACAACATAAAATGCCAAAATAGCGTATTAATAATAACATACAATTAGTCTGACCATATTTCATGTTTTTATCTTGTTTCAGTCTCATGTCTTACCAGCCAGTGCCATTGCCTTCAGCTCATTGGGCTCACTGGGATTGCGATGTAACTTGCGCTTTGACATGGAGGACGATTTGCCCAGGTTGAAGAAGGAACGCCAGCTCCCGACTGGAGACTTTTTGGTCTTACTAGGGGGTCTCTTCCTGTTGAATGAAAGAGATACATCATTTAATACATTGGTTAGGTGCTAGTCTATCTGTCAATCCTGGTTTATGGTTAATATCTCAACAAACTCTCCCAAAAAAATTATGATATGGTTCAAAATGTGTCATGAGTCATGAGTCAGGTTATGTATTTCAAAAAAAGAAAATTTCCCATAGAGTTATACAGACCCAATCAAAATCTACAACATGTACAGGGATTGTACAAACCTTTCTGTTGGGAACTCGATGACAGTGTGAAACTTTCCCTGTAGAGCAGCCGGGCCCTCGCCCACCTCAATGTACTTGCTGTCTTCAGTGACAGGAGAGTTGATCTGGGCCTGGGTCCGAGCCTGCGCCTCCTCCAAGCTCAGCAGTTTAGTGGAGGGTGAAGAGACCAGCAGGGACTTTGGGCGCGACAGAGAGTTATGACCTGATAAGAAAGAGCAGATTATCAGAGGGGATTGAGCCAAGCGGCAATGTGGGTTTGTGTGTGTTGGCAGGTTTTTATCATATTAAATTTATCTGTGTACACCTCCCTGTCTCTGTCCCTGCCTCCCTTATGGGGATAAAACCAGGTCCCTATGACATAAATATTTTATTACATCAGATACACGATATAAAGGTAAGATTAGGGTTAAAATAGAAAAAAAAAAATCATGGTTAGTGTAGGATAAAGTCAGGCATGTAGTGACTATGTTATGTGTCAAGTACCGTATATAAAAGTTAGGACCAGTCTCCAGGAAATTAATACAAATTAATGTAATGTCTCAACAAATTATAGAAATATAACATGCAAGTGTAAGGACAGTTTTTATTGGGGAATCTGAATCCCTTATGGAGAAAAAAATCAGGTCCTCATTACAAATAAATCCTTTATTATTGATCAACAAAATGATTTAAAGTTGAGATAAGGGTTATAATGAAAACCCAAGGTGTGTGCATGTACCTGCTCCTTCTCGTATGAGTGAGCTGAGTTTGGGGCTGAAGAGAACATCCACATGATTCAGAATGAACTCCACCACCACAGACTGTATCCGGACCTCCATGAAAGCAGCAGTCCCACTGAAACAGGCCGACTCGATCTGTTTAGACCTGAGCAAAACCACAACAAAACCACAAGAACCACATATAAGGATATTGCACTGTTTGATAGCAAATTTTCATTCTATGGGAAAATCACAACATTGTACCTCAGTAGATTCGGAGCCCAGACGATGGCCAGGTTTTTGCTGTGCATGTTAGTGACATAGCTGAATGTCGCCAGGCGAGAAAGATGTCTCATCAAGAACTCCAAAGTCCTAGAATTCAAACATTTATTTAAATACAATTTGTTTACAGTTGTATTGACATATTTTTCTTATTTATGTGAAATACAGAAGTAGGATTGACAAAAATATATCTGTATCTTGATATATTTCTTTTTACTAGATCTCAATAACAATATTCAGACAATATTTTAACAATACAGCAGAAATTTGCCAAAAGTTGTCTGTTAAAGTCAGGGTGTTGTCACATCAAGTACTGCACAAAATGTGATCACACTGTAATAGTAAACACAAAATGTAGAGATATCACTTTATATCCTTTTTGAGATCATTAACATACAATAGACTCTAGACAATAGACTTCTAATTTAGCATATCTCGAGAACAGCTGTCCATTCATTTATTTACTGATCAATTTTTTTAACCAGGAAAACCTACGCAGACACAGAAGAACATGCAAACTCCATATAGAAAGGCCCATGTCTACCACTACCGTATATATTTATATATCGCTCTCAATAGAAGAATTCCAACGTTCAAACATCAAAACTAAGACAAAAGGGAGACTAAAAACAAAACTAAACCTGAACTAGATCAGGACTAAACAAGGACTTGAACATGACCAAACCAAGCCTACATCAGGACTAAAATGGGCTCACTTTAGGACCAAAAAACGTGAGCATGAAGTACATTAAATGACCAGAAGATGGCAGTGTGGCGCCTCCGTTACCTGTAATGCGGTGGAGGAAGCTGCTGGATGACATCATGGATCTTGATGAGCCTTTCCTCGTCAGTTGCCGCGGATACAGCCTCCTTCAGGGCCAGAGGAAATTGGGAGATGTTGAGGTTTAAGCAGCAGATAAACACAGATCAGTTGGTTCACTTTTGGGGCTGTTTAAAAGATCACTGAGAATACATCTGTCGAGGACCACAACCACAGCCCACCGCCCTCGCCGCTGCCATGACAACCACCAAACATTTACTTTGCACCAGAGACCAGACCGATGTGTGGACATTACAGAAAAGTGGCTTGTTGCATTGTAATCACAGGGTGTGGTAAAACATGCTCTATTATTTTTAAATGTTTGTGGCATAAATTCAGCCGATAACATTTGGAGAATTTGCATAACCAGTAGTTATGAAAAACAAACAAACTTCAACATAAAAAATGATTGGTTGAAGTACTGTTCTAGCACACAGTGTAACAAATGAGAAATGTTGAATATAAAGTTAATGATGCACTATGTAACTCCTAAGGTGGAGAGCCAGCTACTTGCTCCATGGAGATGTTATTTGTTTGCATGGAATGTTCCACAGTACAGCATTAAACTTATCTGCTTAGTACATATTTGACTGCAGGTGTTTTATAGCTCAAAAATACCTTCTCCAGAAATCTGACCAGTAACTTTATTGTGATAACCAAGTATATTTCCATACTGTGTATAACATTCAAGACAAGCAATGACATTGACCGAACAAATCCAACAAATTTTTCATTCTCAGCACTGATATTTGATACCAGTATTGATTATGGGTACTATTTCTTTGTACTAGTGAGGAATTTTTGCATTTTTCTGTTTTACAATAAGATTTGAGCTCTATAGAGTTTCATTATTGATGAACTAGCTACTAAAGCGTTTCATTCTGCTATTGATTCACTGTAGCTCATTCTTTTTAATGATATTGTACATTTAGTGTTTTTTCAGCACCGGTATTTGATATTCAACAATGTTTAAATCCACACAAGGCTTTTATTCTGCAATCTTCTCTTTTAAAGTTAATTTTATATTTTATTTGTTTGTATTGTGATTTTTATGTCTTTCTTATTTTGTAAAGCACTTTGAATTACTTAAATACATACTTTGTGTATGTATCGTGCTAAATAAATAAACTTGCCTTGCCTTTCTTGGATAATCAAGTTTTAATAGTGTTGTTTATCGTCTCTATTTTCTTCAGCAGTATATCACACTTCAAATTGTGTTATTGTGACAGGCCTACTTAGTGCTTTTCACAGAGGTCAAGGCAGACAAAAACGCCAATGAAACTAGAAGGTGCAGTTAAAGGTTGTTTGAGAGGATCACGTGTTGGTAGTAGAGACTAAGGTGAGAGTTTTATGAGTGTGCGTAGTGCAGTGACTTACGGAGAATTTCTCGTAGAGCTGGTAGGTGAGGAGGGGGTTGGGCAGCTCTCTGAAGTACAGTTTACACAGAGAGCCCACACAGTGAATGTCCTGGATGTAAATGTCTTTGGTCAAGTCGGGGATCTGCTCCGAGTCAAATTCATGTCTGAGGAGAAAATTACAAAGAAAATGTGTTGGTTTTATGGGACTATTAACATTTAAACAAAGTAGAATCCACATCAAAACAATCCCAATTTCAAATTAAGTGATAATATTTTAAATGATACACAGAATTATACTCCCCGATCCCGAAGGAAATTCTAAGTTTTAAAACCAAAATTTTCCCATGCCTTTTAGCAAAAAAAAAAAAAAAAAAAAAAAAAGAGTCTTTGACCCAGGGATATATTGTTAAAACAGCTCTTAAGGTTAAGGTTGCTGTGTACTGTCTGGACATAATTATAAAGAGTTTTATTGTCCTAGACTCAGGAAGTGTGGGGTTAGCATTGTAGTTAGGGTTAGCATTACTGTGACAACAAAACTTCGCTCTGGTCTCTGAAAGCTGTGAAAAGTGCTTGTAAACTCATCACATAGAATAATTAGGATGCTCGGAATGCTTAAGCCAAATCAGGAATAACTTTGGACCTCTGCTGTTTCACACTATTTAAAATGTTAAATAAGTTCTGTTTATTATATTTTAAGACAGTAAAAATAAGGTACAGCGCCTTTAAGTTAAATAATAAATAAAACAAAACACGCATTCATAAATTACTAATTTTAAAGAGAAAAACATGATGTCAACACTTAATGGCTGCCTCTCACAATAAAAACCAAATAACTGCAGGACTGAAGGGAGTGAGAGTTTCTTTGTAGTGGCTCTACAGACATTTGAAAACATATCTAACCATATCTTATCTTTTTAATGCGTGTTCACACATAAAGAGATGCAGATGAAAAGTGGCAGTAGCTAAATCTGGTACAAATTATCTTTTCTTTTGTAAGATTAATGAATTTGTTCATGGTCCCTGACAAAAAAAAAAGAATAAAGAAAAGAAATGTTTATTACATTTGCTACTTTCACTTAATGTTGAGAAACTAACTTTCTACTATAACCTATGTTTTTGTTCTAAATACCACACAAAATGGTTAAGTTATCTATCCATTTATTTGAAATGACAGCAAGACAGGTTTTCTACACAAGCCATAATTCAAGGTGGAATTTCTGCATTCACACTTGAAATGTTGTTTATGTTTCAATTAGATTTATGAGCCTCTGCTGCAGCCACACCAAATCTCTGAAGGCGATAAACAGATGGAATACTACAACACAAAACTATCCATTGGTTTCAGAATAGTGAATAATAACAACAGTAGCCATAGTGATTGACAATAAAAGCCTAAATCTATCTCCTATCTGTCCATCTGTCTGGCACTGTCCATATTTTTCTTAAAAACATGAAAAAAGCAGTTCATTTTAATTGGTTTGCTGTGGTCCAAAGTTATTCCTCACTTACCTCATACATTCAGGGCATCCTTATTCACCACGAGAAATTGATTGTAAGAATATTTTACAACTTTCACAAACCATAGTTGAAGATTCACCGTCATGTTAAAGCAACAACTACCATGTTAATGTGCACTTTCAGCTAATTGGGCGAAGACAGCATGCAGTGGATATATTTTGACCCCAAGAGCAGATTATACAATAAATCTGTACTGGTAAGACATACTTTAAAATAATCAAATACATGAAAATTCTGTTTTTTAATTTAAGTTTTTACTTTCAATAGTTTTTTAACATACCGTAGTTTCTGGATGTTCGATGCGATTCCAGAGAGCCGGTACATCCCATCCACCACGCCATGTTTCTCAATGAACTCAGTGCAGCTCTTGAGAACTTGGGGAACTGGGAAGAGATAGAGAGAGAGAGAGACGGAGAGAGCGTGAGAGAAAGAGAGATAGAGGAAGAAATAGAGCAGAGTGAGAGAAAGGGGAGAGAGATAATGTGTCATCATGCAACACACTCAGTTTGACAGTTCATGTCCATTTGTCTTTGAGCCGAGCACAGTGAGGTCAAGAAGAGGAAAGAAGACTTGTGTTTTTGAAGTGAGTTCTCGAGGAGATCAGACAGAGCTGAGAGAGGGAGACACCAGGCCCTGAACAAATTACAGACTTTGGAGGTTTGGGCAGAAATGTGGTTTTATGTTGATGGAGCAAAGTCAAATGAAAAGAATATGCATGTTTTTCTTTAAAGCTGCACTATGTAACTTTTCTGTGATGGATCCACTACCTGATAGTCTCCATGAAGGTGTTACTGCTTTGCCTGAAATGTTACACAGTATGATATTAAACTAAAGCAGGTTATGCCACATAGTAAGGTTACAAAGCAGATTTGTGGAGAGGCACTCACAGTAAAAATGCATGTTTTTCAAGTTATTTTCTTCTACTAACGAACAAAAACAAAGCAAAACATCTCCATGAAGTGCGTGTTTGTGTGGAGATTCCCAGGCCTCCTCCCACACCTCACGCTTCACTCAGAATGGACAGAAAATGGGAATACCACCGGAGCAGCTGTTCAGATGGATTCCACACATTCTGAGGAACAAACAAGGCCAGATCAGATCGGAAAAAAGTCGTGGGCTCTTTTTCTGTGGCTGAGGCGATTTGCTCCCACTCACTGCTCTGAACTGGAGATGTGTTTTGATCTCAAAACCACATGGTCAAATCAGAGCTGGCACCGAAGAATGTGTCCTTACAGAGACTAGTCAAAATATTAGAAGTCCTCATATTTTTTAAGCAGTCCTTCATTGACCTTGTTTAAGTTACGATTTGAAAGTGGTGACTGAAGCTTCAGTAGAGAATAAATATGTACTGAAAAAGTGTATTATTGATTAAATAAAATAAAAATAACATTAATTTCCCTTGTGAATCAATAAAGTTGGTCTAAGTCTAATCTTCCACAGTATGGCATAAAACATAACGATCACCATGGAGAATGTTCCAAAGTATGGTTCGTTTTAGGAAAGGGTATTAAATATTATTATATATCTTACCAATAAGGTATAAAGGCAGGATCCATGTTGGAATGGACCTGCTACTGAAGCAGCCACTGCTATCAGTAGTAGGTTGAGTAAACTAAAAGCAGTGTGAAAGCTGTTGCTGATGTGATCTGAATGTTATTTGATGAAGACAAAAGAGAGAATGTTTATTGCTGTTGTGACTAAACAGCCTTATCTGGGCTCCATTACAGTCCAGTGCTGCAGGTGCCATGGAAAAATCAATAGGTATTCCCGAGCTTTAATTAAGGTATGGACTTTGGCCCCAATAACAGACAAGAACAAAGAGCTGTGTTTATTCATCACTCTTTTCAGATCGCACATGAAACACGTGTTTCAAGTTGCATCAATGCTACACTTAAAAGACTTAAAAGCCCACGCATACAATACCAGCCAAAAGTTAGGACACACCGTCTCATTAAATGTTTTTTCCTATACATTCACTACTGTTTACATTTTGTATACATACAGAACACATCAAATATATGAAGGACGATTTCTGGAATGATTTAATAAAGAAAAAAAACATTAAATAAGATCAAAGCAGAATGAGGATTTTCTTAAAACGATATAAAAAAAATATATTTATTAGAGTTATTTTCTTTCTTTGCTACATAATTACATACATCTAACTTCATATATTTTGATGTCTTCTGTATGTATATAAAATGTAAAAGTAGTAAACATATAGAAAAAACATTGAATCAGAGATCAGAGGGCGAGTCCAAACTTTTGACTGGTAGTGTAACAATATATCAATAACTTGTCCCCCCGATATGCAGACCAGCACAGACCTTAGCCTGTCAGACTGTCTTTTTAACACTCAGTATTGCAGTGACCCTCCGCACAACTTGTTTTATTTCACTGTCTAATGTTTTGCTTTTTTTTATATCGTATTGATTTTAATGTGAAGCATTTTGGTCACCCTGAGTGTTGTAAAGTAAATATAGTTTGATTTACTGATTCAACTTGCCATAACAACCGTAGATACACGGTGAACTGAAAAGTGAATGTGATGTAAATATCTGTTTTTCCTCACCATCGTGTCCTGAGTTGAGAAGGTGCTCGCCGAGATCACAGCCGAACACCCTCTCTCTCAGGATTCCCCTTTGCTTCAGCTTCTGTTTGGTGGGTCTGGACTTCATGAAGGAGCGCAGGAACGTGATCAGCTTTCCGTGCTTCTTAGACACTGGGAGATGGAGAGAGGAGAGAGGAGAGGGACCTGTGTTAGATACAGATGTTCACTCAGTCACTACTGCTTTATACACAGAGCCATTTCTCACTGGAATAAGCTGCCTCAAGAAATGATGCTTACACATAATCATCTTGCTTTTAAAAACATCTCAAGAAATGAATGCGAAGCCAAGCACTGCGATTAACTCATGTGCGTCTCCCTTATTATAGAAGCTGCTGTTATGTATTGACTATTAATGTGATATACTGGTAATGTACTGTTAATGGGGATCCTTACATAAACAAAAAACATGCAAAAACTCTGCTCTGTAACCTCATAGCAGTTTGCTCCATTGTGTACCACCGCTTTATTCTAATGCAAACCTCTCCTTTATGCATGTGTAGTTTCCTTGAAGCGAAAGGCTGCCTCTTAAATACCACCTCCCGGGCAACTACAAAGGAATCCACCACATCCAATACCAGTATCCTCTGCTCCGCTTCAAAACAGGACAAAAAAGAGACTTAAAACCCAAAGCGCTTTAATCAGATAGTGGGTCTGGGAAAGGCGCATATAAGCTCTTTACTATACTTGTTTTTGCAGGAGGGAATATCAAATGGATCTGGGGAAATGGGACAATGGAGTAGGGCTAGACAACAACAAATATTTGCTCAAAATTCTCCACTGGGAATCAAAGAGGATCAGCTTGATGGTTCACTGACAGTAGCTGGTTTTTTTCACAACTGGGAAACTATTCACTCAAATTCCCAAGCATCCACTGCATATTAAAGGTGCACAGTGTAACGTTTTTTGGTCCAGGATGTGCCACCTGCTTGTCTCAAGTGGAGTAATAAAAGTAATAAAAACTAGAGCTGTAACAATAACCGAAATATTGTGATATCGTATCGTCAAAGTTCTCACAATAATATCGTGGACCATGACAATATATTGACTCATAAGTCTCTTTGCATAAAGTAAGAGTTATGGTGCAGTAATTGCAAAAAATAGACAGAGGGAACTACACAGACCACAATACTTTGCTCCATTTCAGTGCAGACTACAAGAAGACATAAAGGTTTTAAGCATTTTTAAGTCTTAGTTCTTTGGATTAAGTCTTGTCAAGGCATTTTAAGAGGAAAAAGTAGCATATTAACAGTTTTGTTAGCTCCACAAAATATCGCAATAAATTTCAAACCATGAGATGTATATTGTGAAAATATCGTACAGAGAGATTTGGATATTGTTACATCTCTAATCGTGAGCCTCCCCACCATATCGTGAGTTTTCCCATGATATCGCAATAAATATCATACCGTAAGGTTCATACCGTGACGATATCGTACCGTGAGACTTGGATACTGTAACACCCCAAATAAAAACACCTCTCAAGATAGATAAGTTCATAGATAATACTGTGGAACATTCTAGGGACAGAATCTCCATTGAGAACAGTGGATAGCAGATGCTCCACCAGAAAAGTTACATGGGGCTGCATCCTAAGCATTTACAAAACACTACCATGGTAATAGTCATTTTAAGAATGAAGAATGATTCATCAAATACAACACACAAACCCAGAGCAAGTTTAAAAATTTCACAGATGAAGCGCAATCAATTTCTTCTCATTTTCTCGAGTCTCATCACAACACTCTCCTAATTGTTTCATATTTATTTTAATTAATAGAATCGCAGTAATTTCTTTCATCTTGCCCAATCTAACATAATTTTACAGACATTATAAATCATTTCGCCCTGAGCCCTCCCTGTCTGATGTGGTTTGATACAGTTGTTCGCGGTTTTTCAATCTAAACATATACGAGCTTCAGTTAATCTTTATCAAAGCAACGTGTCCTCGTCGAGTTATCCCTCTGTGAAAAAAACACCGTTGTAAGCGAATTCCTCTGACTGATTATAAACAGTTAGGATTCCACCGAGCCTCCCTGTTCTCGGCCTTCACTGATTTACAAACATCACATTCATTTTCAGCTCTCAGAGTCGAGCTGCACAATATTCACCTGCACCATTTCAAATCAATGACGACAGCGACTTTGAAATGACATTTTTCTGGAGAGTGGGACTTTAGCTTTGCCAAGTTATTTCTAAGGCAACACAATGATAGGCTTCTGCATACTAAACAAACACATTAAAAGGACATGTGTTTTGGGAGACAATAAAAAGTAAATTAGTATAAATATAGACAGAGCTTGTACTTCACTACATACAGTTTGCTGTTCAAACAGTTCGTTTAAAAACAAGGATGTTTGACTTAATAGATGCATGTACTTGAAAGGCACATCATGTTAGCCAGGCTGGCGCCACCTAGTGCTTCCCCTCAATTTAATTTCTCTCCAACGACTAGTTTAGGAATTGGAATACACTAGACGGTTTGCAAAAACCCCGGAAGTGCGAGTTCGGGCACCAGCCAATCAGCAAAGAGCCATACATTCTGTGTTGGCAACGATTCCAGACATTGAGGATTTAAAGCCGGAACAAAGAGAATGTTTGGTGAATTTTATCAAGGAGAAAGATGTTATTGTCCTTCTTCCTATGGGATTTTGGGAGCTTAATATACCAGTTAGCCTCGTTAGTCGTGCATTACATATGTCACGACCAAATGGCAGAGATTGGTTAAATGAAAAACTAACAAATCCTTATTCTGCGAGGTCAGAATCAGGCTAGCATCATGTAACTTTTCAGGGAGAAAGTTTTCATCATTATCTACTTGTCTCCACGGAAATGTGACTGCTTTGCCTAGAGTGCCCCACAGTCCGACATTAAACTTGTCTATCCACATGAAGACCAGCAGGTGATGTCCCCAGGCCAAGTAAAACATTTTACTCCTGAACGCAGGTTTTTCAATTATGTAATAAAAACTTTAATACTTAAGAACTTTCCAGGCAATGCAATAACATCTCCATGGAGACAAGCAGATGGTAGACCCATTAGAAAAGTTACATATCGCCCCTTTAACTTCCAAATTCACAGTCACAAAACTTAAACCTATATCACAATAATCAGACAATGCAATTTTCACAATCAGAAACCATTACTTTAACTATATAATGTGCATTTCTTAAAATATTTTTATCTTTCTGATTCAAAAGATCAGACCAACAGTGAAAGAAACACAAGAAAACGGAAAGAAATCTGTTAAGCAGGAGAAAATGTTTTGTCCTTGGTGGAAGTAAAATTAATGCTGCTGCCTATTCCACAAATTATTGGCAACAGATTTCATTGACAGTCCAATAAGGGCTTAGGCGTAGACAAGGGGATTGGGGCTGTACTAATGAGCTGGTGAGAAACATATTCAGCTCTCTGTTGCTTCCAGGATGACACACAATGAATAAGCAAACTGCAAGACTATAATGTTCACATAGGAGTGGTGCTACAAAGGACTCACTGAGAAAATACGCCATTCTCGCAACAATATGAAATTTGGCACCTATGATTTGAGCCCAGTCCACGTCTAGAGTTTGTCTTGTTTATATGTTATAGTTTTATATGATACACTCTGAGGTTCAAAAAACGCTGGCAGCCTGCAGGACTGGGATGGTCTGACTAAGAGGAGGTGTGAGGTTTTGCTGTGAATGTTAACAATAACTCGCATGCTAACGTACACTTCCTGATTATTGGACAGTAAAGCACTCTATAATTACTAGTAGATAATTACAGCAAAACAACAGTCACAAGGAGCTTACTGTTGGTGCCAAATAACAATTAAAACAGAGTGTAAGCATCACCTGACATACATATGATAAAACATAAATATAAATAAACACAAAGATATATTTTAAAAGGATTTTTCCATGTGACTTGCTGAAAAAATTATACAATATATCTGTACGAGAGCAAGACATACTTTTCTCAAATATATGAGAAAGAATCATGCACAGAATCATTAAGACAATCGAAACACTTTCAGTCTGTACCGATCTACTCCAAAGTAATCCACTGGAAACAAGACCAGTCATTTAAGAAGCGGTGACCTTTGTAACTGTACGAGCATCTGTAAACAAGAGCCATCACTACATTTTAGAGTAAAGTAGACTCCACTGAACCCTGAGGGAGAAATTCCTTTGGTGCCCACAGACAAATGTGCTGATGCAGCTTTGTTTACTCACTGTGGAGGCATCTGACAGGGCCCTCGTCTCATAAGAGCTGGAGAGGGAGAGGGCTGTGCAATAGTACTATCTGCTGTACCACATTGCTTTTACAGAGTTTCTTGTAGGCTTTATAGAGACTATTTCATCTTATACAATCTGTGGCATATAAACAAATATTATATTATTATAATTATTGGCTACATTTAATCTTAAAGGTTGTTGTTATGTTATTGTTTTGCCTGGAATGTGCTAAAATATGGAATTAGCCTTGTCTAAGCTAAATTACAGGCCAGATCTATGGAGAGGTGAGCCTACTAACAGTACGAAGGCCTGTATGTCAAGGTCATTTTGAGCAATAAAAACAACTTCAATGTGGAATATTCCAGACAAAGCAATAAGATAATCACAGAGACAAGCAGGTGGCAGATCCTCCCCAAGGAAAGCTACACAGTGCTTCTTTAACGCAGTCCTCTTAGCTCAGTATAGTTACTTTTAAATGTTTAGAATAAGACAGCAGCAAAGTGTGACTTTGTGCTGCCAGTGTATAGTCCAGGTTGTTTTTAGACAGTGGGAGTGACTTTTAGACTATGGGGACACTATAGTCTCCTTTATTAAAGAACACTGCTTTTATTTATTAAGCAGGGCTGACAGGAGGAAGTGGGGAAGAGGAGGGTGGCAGATACTCCCATCTGCTCATGGTCAGTGTGATAAAGGCTCAGGGGCACAGATCTTGACTGAGCAAAGCATCACAAGAGCCAGAGGAGCCAGATCAGACCTGCTGCTGTGGAAAGGACAGAGGGGGGAGAGCCTGGATACAGATACAGCTGTGACTGGACAGTGATGACAGTGCTCAAAGCTACATGACAGCCATTTAAACAACAGTCTGGACTGTGTTATCACTTTTGTTTTGTATGA